CACACCATACATACTCCGTACACACGACGAGAAGAGGAGGCCCAACGCTCGTCGTCAATGCGGTCGCATCCGATATTCCATTGCTAGCCGAAAACCAGCCCGTGACGCCAAACCACAACAGGGCCGTGGCTTCAAGAGCCTGCCTATCGCATCACATTTGGCTCGCACCAGAGTACTACCGACACAAACAATGCGCTGGATAAGATTGGGTTTCATCTTGTCCCAAAGTCCATGCCCTTTCGCATAAGCGATGCGCGCTACGTGAAACGCACAAGGACAGGTTCAAAGTTTATTTGCTTCCGGACATGAACTTTGCTGCTGCTGTGCCCTCTCGGAGGCGAGGCTCCGGGGCCACGCCTCAGTCGGGCGGGAGAAGGCCAGATTCGCAATGCAATGCAGTCTTGGGCGCGGGCTGCCGACTCTGCTGCGTGCCGAGCGACGAGCGGCGCGCACGGCGCACGGCCAAGGTATTTATTTCCGTCTCCGTTTGGTCAAGTTTCATCTGATTTCACCACCCTATGTATAGAACGGAATCGCTTTGCTGCCTCTTCGGAATCAAGCACCATTCTGCTCCTCCTTCTCTGAATAGAGCGCAAGGGGAGGGGGGTTTCGGGGCCAGGGACTCTGTTCGTATCTGGCCGAATGGGTTCCTCCGGTTTTGATTCCAAACCTTGGGTCATACGATGGATGAGCCTGGCTCTATTGTACAAGACACAGCGTCTCATAACACGGCCTCTTCCTTCGTCGCCGTTTGGGAAGCGAGAGGAAGAAACTCTATTTCCGCGCAACCGCGCTGCCTGCCCCCCTCCCTCCCCGATGCCCGATGCCGATGCGCAGGAAAGAAAAGAGAAGGATAACTCGGGCGCCCAGGATGTCCCCAAACCTTGTGATGGGCAAGCCAATTCGGTTAAACTCTAAATGATCTCGTCGTCACCAAGGCCACCCACCCCCCTCCAGTCCCATATGTACATACTGTAGAGACTACAACGCTCTCAATCCTTCTCGTCTCATCCCTCGCCGCCGCATTACAACATGATGCTCGCTCATAATACGTAATGCCTGTATGCTACACACAGAAATAAAATGCTAAAACAAAACGTTCATGCGCAGGATCCTTCTCTACCCTGTGCCAAACTTAAAACTCCGAGCACAACGTGTTAGCTCGGGGAGTTTATCCAACACAATCCCACACACCCATCATGACTCTTGGAATGCGTGCTGCTCGTGACTTGACTCCCATGACCCTTGTATCGACGATACTACTAGTAGTAATATCGCCAGAGGCAAGGACGCCTAGTATGTACTGTACATAGTAACTGGCCCTATTAGCGGCTCCTCCTTCCTCCTTGGCCCCCCCCAAAACGGCATTCTTCTCGAAGCATTTTTACCCCCCCTTTTTCCCGGACTCCACCCCCAAATTAAAGTTTTGCGCCTGTCCATCTCTGTAAAAATCGGGCACCTTGTGGAAAGCCAATTTCAGGGGTCGATAGCCAGTCAGATAACCACGGTTAAATGGTACCTTGACTTGCTTGGAAAACAGCACGTGATTCATGTATCTGTAGCCCTGTCAGGTACACAAGTATCTACCTGACAGGTACATTGAATTTATCACATCAGCACATTATTCGTCTGGTAGCGGTCTTGTCCTTCTGGACACATGGGGCAGAGGGACCCCGCAAGGTCCTCGACTCTTAACGAATGTACACATACGTCGCCCTCTCAGCAGCAACATTGCACCGACAAGCGGCCAATCAGACACGCAAATCTTAATATTATATGTATGTATGTTATGTACAAGGCACAGCTGCAACGTCGGCAAGAACCCCGGCCCTGACTGAATGCCCACGCCCCGTTGGGACATTTTTGCTTTATTTCATTCCCTGTCACTCGGACTTGATTCGGCTTTGGCCACGCACCGGAGCGGATTCAGGAACCGGAATGCAAGGGAAAGAAAGGGGCGAACAACACAAAACCACCGCGGTGTTTGTCTCGTTCCATGACGCCACGAAAATGGCGAAACCGCATAAAAAAAATATAAAAAAAAGGTTCAGACCATTTGGTCCCCCGTCCGTCCGACCAGTAACGAGGGACAAAAACTTCCGGCGCACACGGACCGTGAGCATCAAACCTTAAGCGCTGGCTGGCCTCCTCGTGTATCCTGCTTCAGCGTATCTGCGTCAGCGACTTGTGTTATTTTTTCTTTCTCATCCACTTGATGACGCAAAAAAAAAGAGAGAGAGAGAGAGAGAGTCAGAGTCAGAGTCGTCTCCCTTCTCGTATGTATGTACATAATATACTTTTCGCCAAGACCCTGCGAGATAATAAAACGGCACCTGTTTTGTAAAAACTGTAATACATGCATGCATGCATGCAGTACCGCTCGAACAATTGACTCGACAAAAGCGGCAAATTTACGCTTGTTAAAGCAGCTCCTCTGCATCATCGGCCGACCAATGCCTCCTGCAAATCGACATCGAACGAAGAGAAAGAGGCCAGGCCAGGCGCCCGGGCTTGCCCCCATCGCTGCCGCTGTCCTTTTCGGCTATTGCTCCAGCCGGCCTGGGAACAAGGACGAACTCTAATTCCTTTTTGCCCTGCCCTGCGCCATGCCGACCAGCCATGCCGTCGCCCGTCTATGGTGCACCACTGTACAGAGTACTACTCTACTACACAATGCATCTTGTTGTTTGCTCGTGCGGGTATATGCCGCCCTTGCCTGCTGGTCCCCCTTTTGCCGCCCTTGCACAATGTAGTATGCTACGCCGCGACTTGCCCCGTGGGAAAGAAAAAAAAAAGGGCAGCCGACCAGACCCCAAGGTGCCGGGGCGTCTCTCGCCTGGCGGCGCACAGACAACCGCCAAACTGGGAAGGGGGAGAAAAGGGACATGGTGCTTGTCAACCGCAGAAGCCCTCTGTTAAGTTGCTTGCCCTTTTTTTTGCCTTATCTTGGTGTTAGCTTGAGTAGTATCCCCCCCTCCGAGCCCATGCACTCGTGGCATCTAGATCCACCCAGCCATTGCATATCGGCAGTTCGTGTGGCCAAAAAGCCAAGTGCAGTCCCAGTCCCGGGGCGCAAGGTGAGCCACGTGAAGCAAACAGGTTTATTGTACGGAGTATGTACATACTAGCTGCATTCTTCCATTCTTTTTCTTTTTTTCTCTTTTAGTAGTATCTTATTTTGATCGTGTCTCATGCACCCCAGATCTAAATCTGGCACACCTTGCGGCGTAGGTTTTCGACTTAATCTGCCCATGGTAGTAGTACCATGACTTCTCCCTGTCGCAGATCTTCAGTAAAAGCAACCACACAGACCACAGACTTATGTGTGTAACGCAGGCCCAACGACTATTGACGTCTCCGCGGCTGCCGGCAGTTATTGAGAACTGTTAGCCCTGGCCCGCCTAGTTATGAATGACTCCAAACGCTGCTTTGGGAAATTGAAAAAAAAAAAAAGCCTCCGGCCTGCATCAAATGGGCGTAGCAGCTTATCCAAATTCCACATCATGTCTCATTTTCAACAATCTGGCGCCACCACCGACACGTCCTCCCGTGCACCCCATGCACGCCATTGCAATAGAGTCTAACGTTTCATCTGGCCAAGAGCTCCCCTTTTGTCATTTCGTCTGGGCATCGAGAACAGCAGGTCAGGGTTTCACAGTCTTGATTAATAAACGTAGTGCTGTCTAATGGGAATAGACTGTAACACCACGTAATACAGGCGTGCACCATGGTTTCTCTGTTTAGTTCCATCTGAAAATGTTACAGAGAGATGAAATTCAATATATACAAAAAATGGACAAACATGAGGACTAGTTCATAATTCGTTAGATTCTTGCATAAGCAAAGTCCGTATCGTATGCATTTATACCAAAGTGGCGCCGTCAGAGGTTGAGTGATGATGAGAGAAAGGACGAGGCGCTAGGGTGGTTTGTGCCAGTCAGTGCCCTTGGTGGCCAAGCTCTGCATCGCAGGCTGTACTGGCGAGTAAGCGTGAATGAGGGAGTGCCGCAATGACTCTCCATCTTGGATGGTTGCCGGTATAACATTGTCGTTTGAAATAGAATTGCCGGCACGTGGAGCCAGCCTCGCAAATCACCACATCGGACCACGCTGTGAACATGTTGAGGTGCGATTTGCTCCCTGGGCACCAAGACTTCGGTGGCAACTTGCCAATAGTCTGCCATCGCCGTCGCCGTCGCTGTTTATCGTGCCTTGGCTCTGGTGCAACCAGCCATCAGGGCGATTGGCGAGAGGAACCAGATCATGCTGCTTTGGGAAGTCGGCCAGCTTGGCAAAGCAGTCCCTAGGATCTCCCAGTCAAGTCCTGCAATGGCAGTCCAGGGGTAGACCTGGGGCCGCAACGGGTCGAACGTTGGATTTCGACAGCTGAGGGGCCGCCGGCAACACAAAGAGACTCGTGGGCTCTGAAGTGGGGGAAGGGCGAACCCTTGGAAACCAGGGAACCTCAATGTCACCACGCCCGAATTTCAAGACCCGGGCGACATTTTGGCTGCGATCCAGTCTAGCCCTGCGCCCCGGTACGAGTCGAGGTTCCTGCCCTGTGTTTGTTTGTACGTATGTACATACCGGTGAGTGCTTTGGGCGCATTGCACATTGACCTGACTGCCACGACGAGCGAGGACCTGATTTGCCCCCAAATGGCGGTCGTCAACTTGATCCGGCTTTGGACCGCTCAGCAATGAAGCCGCCTGGCATGGTCTGCATTGCACATGCTCGTTTTTCTTTTTGGCGCCTTGTTTCATATCATCGGCGGTCTCATGACCTCTCGAGAATGGCCTGATCGATTACTGGTGACTTCAGGTGGTAATGGCCGTAATATGCGCCTGTCAGAATTGGGATATGTCGGGACCAGCCTGCCTTTCTGGGTGGCCACATGAAGCTAGTGCAGTTTCTGGCGCCAGCCAGAAAAAGAAAGTATGGGAGGGTGAAGAAAACGAATAGTAGTACTTTGCCAACCATGCCAGGGACCTTTGCGCCTCTCAAGCATGGCAGTTGTCCCAGTATCGTTTTCGAGCCTCGACGGCATCGTTGTCGCCGATGAAACGGTGCTGGAAGAAGTTGAAGACGGCAAACTCGTCCCTCGTCATGACGTATGAGTTGGGCTCGGCCTGGACCTTGCCCCAGATTTGAGAGAGAGCACTCTCGAGAATCTTGCTGACAGTAGGGTCCGAGGCCCCGTCCGGACTCTCGCGAGCAATCTCGAGAGCTTGGGCTACCGCAGCATCTTGTGAGTTCTTGCCCGGAGCAGGAGAGCTGCTCGCGGCAACACTCATGACGGGGGTGTCTTCACGGTGAGGCATTGGGCGGTAGTGAGGGGGGTACGCCTGGTGGTGTTGACTCTGGTGGTAGTGATGGGTATCTTGAGCGGCGACAGACAACATATTTTGAGAAGGAGAGTCCCAGACGGAGGGCGAACCTCTCATGTATATATGTATGCGGGTGCTTTGTTCTGACGGTATGTATGGGCGGTTAAAGCGCCTTGGGGATGGATGCACAGTGTGGGTACAAGATAGCGGAAATGGGAAGTATCGGCAGGGGTGTTATTAATACTTTGGGTCGAAGGCCAAAATGCGATTTAAAAAACACAAGGACCAAAAAGGAAGTCTCCTCCTTGTCAGAATTGTCTCTAGTAGAGAAGCTCTCTCACCGAGGAATAACAAGGGGTGTGGCGTGTATGTCGAGGTGTTGACCAAACCTCCCTAGCCCTAACTAGCCGGCACTGACTGTAAACTGGCGAGCAAAACGGGCACCGTTGTGAACCGTGCTTTTCTATTCTCTCCTCTTTTCCGTTGCTTGCTTGATCGCGGCTGACGACACTAAAAGACGGAGACTTTTCTCCCAAGCACAAGGTGGTGACAAGGTAGTCTGTCTGTCTGTGAGTTTGTCTTGCAACGCTGTGTCAGCCTTGGGGTAACAGTCTGGCTTGTTAGGTGCAGGAGACGGCGTTTATAGTACGCTCCAAAATGGACTCAAGATTGGGGAAAGAGGAAAATAGTGGCATATGCAGAGTTGCTTGGAGGGTAACCAGGGGGGGGCTTGTAAGATGGCTGCAGGTGGACGGGATGGGTCGTTCCAGGAATCTGGTGCAAGCACTGGGTGCTTTATAGACAACTTGCAGCACCGGCAATCTTGCCATTGCAATGCCCAGAATGGCCGAGGCGAGGCTCGAAGAGCCGGGAAAGGGGCCAAAGGTTAAACAGCGCGAGCCCGAGTAAGTCGACGTCGTGGCAAGTATACGCCGTGGCTGTATAGACAACGCCGCAGCAACGTTCGGGCCAAGGGGCTGGATCAGAGAATCCGACAGTGCTTCCCCATTGTTACAATGGTAATAGGAATGTACCAGCAAATTTACCAGGCGTTTCGAGCCGGCCATCTTCCATCGGGTCGTGGGGCAGCCATGCTGCTGTTGGCGACACACCTGGGTGCGTGGACAAAATAAATGCCCAGCCAAAGTATAACTCCATGTGTGGTTGTAGTAGTACTACCGTCTGCAGCGAGCCCTGTACAGTATGTATGCAAGTACTGCACAGCAGGGCGGATATGTGAGATAACTACTCCGTCCTCCGTATTAGTTACCCGTGTCAGACTCGAGCTCATGGATTCGCCCCTCATCCGTCATCATTGAGTTGCACTCAAACAAAAGTTACTTGTCCTCACATGACACGTGTGTTATGGAGAATTGTGGCCTTGGGTTCGTGGCTCAAGAACCTAAAGCCCGTGATTAAAAATAAAACTCTCGCCGGCCACCACGGGGCAGTCGACGATGGCGACAGCACAGCCCAGAGCAAAAGTCTATATGCCCGGATCGTAAGGCTCATTATGCTTTTGTGTCTAGGCCTCGCCGTTGACTTGGTCGACGATTCACTACTGTTGGAAGCTCGGGAGGCCATGACGAAACTGGCATCGGTCCGTAGGCTAACGAAAGCTCTGGGGTCATGACAGTGTGGCGGTTTTTTTGGCCAAAGCCTGGCATGGGCAGCGACAGAGCGGTAGCGCGGGTGTGCCAAAACCCCAGGCTCTTCCCGAAGTCTGGTACGCCGTGGTCAGTTGAATCTGCGGATGGGTGATGCAGTCAGACAGGTGGCCAGTCAACAATCTGATTATCCGCACCTTTTTTCGCTGCAGCCTCGTGTCTGAAGAGGTTCTCAGGCACCACGTCGATGACGATGCGTCAGATCCCGCTTCATCTCCCGACATGGCTCCTTCGCGTGATTCCATTGCACTGACATGCTCTTGACGCTGTTGCTTTTCCGGCACCCAGTCATCCGTCGTCAATGGGAGGCCCGAGAACATGGATGTTCCAATCACCAGACAGAAAGACCCACGATTGGCATTGCTGGCCGTTGTCTTGAACTCTGATGAGCAAAAGCCAGACCCTAATATTAGGCTTTCCCTGGCAGTCTGTACTGGGCTTAACCTCAGGGATCGCCTCGGAGAGCGCTCCTATTACAGAGGGTGCTTATGACGATGACATGGCTAGCTATGGCCGCCCTGGCTCCACGGGTTGCAAACAGAGTTTGGGACCGTCTGGAGCCGTCGCTCAAGACGCGAGCTAGCTTTGACTAATACTTATACCCGAACGACGCGATAATGATCGGCTCGGTTGTGGCCAGGCTTGGTAACCCACCCGTAAGTAATCAGGTCAGAATTGCACATCATCACAAAGTCGAAGGGAGACAATGAAGCACAAAACAGGGAGATGTGGGTGATGAAAAGTTGACACCAGAGAGACAAGAAACGCCGAGCCATCGGCCGATTCCAAAAAATGCGAACAATGGCAAGCGCAAAGCGACCTCGTTGATGACACCGGGAAGGTGCGGGCGGCAAGAAAGACGGCGAGACACAATGAGAAGGAGCTCTGGGTCACTCTCCACTACCACTTCCAACCATGTTTGCGGCCTGCAGCCTGTCTCCGTCGTGCTCTGCATTGTCAGTCATTATCGGTCTTTCGGGGGACCCTGGCTGTTTACTGAACTCAAAAAAACAATATCAGCAGCTGCGTAATATGAGGCGCGGTATCAAGAGCACCATGTGTGCTACAGGTGTGAATTACGATAAGTGACAGCCTGGGCCCTCCCGCGCTCGCGCTGGACTTCAAAGTTGACGAGGAACAGAGTCTTGACAGGGCCCCTGGCCGATATGACAACTGGCTCGTCGCCCCCTGCTCGCCAGACAACCAGACTGCCGCGCCAAGACGCTTGTCGAAAGTGACAGACGGGGGTTGTGGCTGTGAGAGACATCTGGCACCGAGCCGCGCATAATGGGGCCTGTCCGCGCCGCCACGGAAAGCGATTGGCTGTCGTCGCTGGGATTTGCCTTTTCTGATGTCGCGGATGCGTCTGAAGAGTATGGAATTCACGGTGTGAAGGTCCTTGTGGAGGTGTGGTGATGGAGTGCTGACGGAAGGGCTGCATCACCTGAAAAGTCTAACTCCCACCACGATGCCCACATGCTGCCATTTCCACCAGCGCCTTCTGTCCTTTGGAGCAGGGTCGCGACGAAGGACACGCAGCCCATGCTGAGCGACAAAGTTTCGTGCTCAGGACGAGCAAATATTCGCTGCACCAACCCTTTAGGACTACCCCCTCTTTCAGGCGTCGCTCGACTCTCTCTGCTCCGGTGATGAACACATCTCGCTTCTCTGGCGGCCATTTGTCTGGGTGCCCGAAGCCTGGGTGCCTTCTCACTCTATTCGTGTATATAGGGCCACGGAATCAGACACTGAGGATGAGTAAAAGCTGAGTAAAACAAAATAGAGTTAGGGCCACAGGCGTGGCCGTTGGAGTCGTGTGCTCAAGTTTCCGCCCAGTGCTTTTATGGTCTATTTCCTGGTATCCCTTCTTTCACTCTTCAGTCATGATAGTCAGAGAATCGTTGAATGGTACTCCGTACAGTCAATCCCACTGCTAACCACAAAATGCCCGAGCGGTTCGCAGCCAGTCCCCCAACGACGGGTTCCACACGAAACTCGCCAGAACATCCCAACTCGCGAGCCGTCAAACGTCTGTGTCCGACTTCAGAAACAATCCAGGCGGTCCACCGCTCGGGTTCTGTCAAGGGTTCTAGCCTCGCCATCAAACCCCTGGCCATGATGTGCTCCATCTTTGCCGATGGCCACCTCAGTCACGACTGATTCAGGAGCGCAGGGTCTTGGCGAGATGTCATTCGTTTGTGTCCTTGGTGCTGTACTCCGTACTCCGTACACATGCCTACACACAACATTACCTGTGCATGGGGGTTGCGGCAGGGGTTCGAAATTCAGTCGACACGTTGCTACGAGACAATGAACTGGCCTAGACTTTTATGTTGTACGTGCAAAGTGGCATACGGAGCGGCATGGGGCAGAGTGGAGGGCCGTCTCTTCCGGCTAGTTGCCCCCAGACAGTTGGCGCCTTTAATCGCTTATTGGTGTCTGACATCCGCATGAACTACTAGTCAATCTGCACGTACCATGTAGTAGTCTGTATTCTTGCACCTTTTTCTCCGAGTCTGACACTTTAGCCAGCCGTCTTCTCCCAGGACATGGCCCACAGGCGACTGGCGACCTTGGCTGGCAAAAGCATGGACATGGACGGAGTGTCAAGCTGGAATCCAAAGGTTTGGTTCCAAACTTTTGACAAGCTTTCACCCGCTAGATATAAAGCTGGGCTATTGAATTTAAAAATGGGTGTTATCTCATGTATGCAGCTGGTGAGCGGACTGGCACTTACACGCCATGAAGACGAAGTGGCTCGTATCCTGAGTTTCCATGTTGAAGCTAAGGCTCACGTATCAAGCTAGCGCCGCCACGGCGAGGAGGTGTCTGTCGTCAACGATATCGATGCCGTTTCTTTTCCCTCTTTCCTTCTTTTTTTCTTGCGCTTCCCGGCGCGCCATGACCACGGATGCCTACCACTTTGCGATCCGAGTCATTATTATAGGGTACCAGTATTGCATGTAGTGCAGTGGACAAGTCTACCAAAATCGAGAATCGATTGTAACCACACCAAGACGGCTCTCCAGCGGCACAAAGTGGGTCGTGGTGACATTTATTCACATATTTTGCGGCGGGAGATGCATGTTAGCATGTTGCGGCCGATTACGGAGTATCATGGCGAGGGAACCAGCCAATTGTTGTATGCACAGATCGTCTCTTCGTCATGACCGAGAGGATGCTCGCAGATGTTCAATTTCTCAGAGCGCAACATCTTTTGGTCCGTGGTGATTGCATGTTGCCAGTTGAGCTGGCTACTACTGTATGTAGGTACTTACTTGAGTAAAGTGCCTCGTAGCTGGGCGATTCCTGGACTAACTGCTGCCCCGATGATCCGACTAGTACAATACTAATGGATAGTAGTACCAACTCAGCAGCCAAGTGGCTGGCAAGGGGGCTGTTGCGTGAACGGTTGACACGTTGACATGTTGCAGGGTGTTGATGGGGGATACTACAACAGAAAAGATATATTATAGTTGCGTCAAGTATGAGCTCTCCGATTCGTACAATGCATGTATATGTAGTACTTGAGATGTATGTACTTGGGTTTTGCCTGGTTGATTGCCCAGCTAGGCCAGCAATTACTCGCGGCGCCTTCCCTGCAACCTCGACACTGACTCTGGTTGGGCTCGTAGGACCCCGGCCTTTCGTCACGTTTGTCTTTTTTCGCAGGCAGGAAGGAGTTTTCGTGGTGCTCCATGGTGTAGGAAGTAATTTCCACCAAGATGTGCCGGTTGATTCAAAAAAAGTTTAAAATCCACAACAGCCAATCGCCGCTCACACATGACCCCCGGTCTGGCCAGCCAAACTATGTAAGTACATACATCAGCGCTTCGTCAACACCAAGCCCCCAAACATGCTTTTTTTTTGTCGCAGCTGTCGCAGCTGTCGCAGCTGTCCCAGCGTCCGTCCGTTGCTGCCCGGCTCCTCAAGAGGGACGGTTTTGACAACTTGGGTTTCGATCTGCAACTTTGCGTGCTCCGTCACTTCCTTCTTTTTATCCGACCCCACCAACCTAGGAGCTGCTTGCTCTTCTGGTCATCGCCCGCCGCAGACACCGCTTGGAGCGGCCACGCTACCAGATGTCTCGCAGCCACCAGCTCCTGCGGCCTTTGCCCTACCAGTCTTGGATGACATGTGACAGAATAGTGGCATTTGGCTTCCACCGGACCCCAGGTCAGTCAGAACCGAACCGTCCACATGGGTCAGGAACACCTGTGGCCGCCAACACGCTCGCCCGCCCAACTTTTCTGGTACCGAGTCGAGTCTGTGGAGTTGGACCTGGCTTCTCCGGCTCTGTGCGACATTCCATCGAAACGCCGGTACCTAGGTGCCTACTCTACGCGGCGCGCGGCCCTGGTTCTGGTGACAGTCTCCTGGTTCACCAGCAAACGCAAGACAACTCGTGAGAGTTTTTTGGAATTAATTAGACTTTTACACTGTCTTGTAGTAGTTGTGCTGTCACCAGAACCAGGGCCCGCGCGCCTAGTAGCATGTTGGTGGTTGCGCACGCACTCCGTCGTACGTATTGCATAATTAGGTACCTACTCCGTACATTGTATGTCCATACAGTACTACAATAATATGTACTTAGATGCAAGCCCGACGTAGTCTTGGCCTGCCACTCCACATGACCTTTCTTTCTCCCTCTGTCTTCCGTGCAATCCGCGCACATTAGGGCCAATACGCGAAGAAAAAAGCTTCCAACAGCCGACGCCGGGCCACCCGTCCGAGGAGCGCGTGCCGTTGACCTCTGTGACTGGTTGACTTGCCGTCCGGCTCCTCTGTTTAAACACCATTGGTGCAAAGGCAAATACAGACGAAAGGTCGGTCCTCCACGTAGCCGGGCTTCATTAGACTTTACCGTTTGCCACGCCTCCGTCCGCAGTCGTTTCTGTTCTTGTGTGTGTGTGTGGGTGGTGTGTGCGTGTTTGTATTTAATGAGCCACGTATTGTCAAGCCACGCTGCAGCTATTGTCTGTCTGGCCACACTACGTAAATTTAGACAAATTATGTTGGAACTAAATATGAATAAACTCTGTGAGAGTCGGCTAACGAGACCGAGTTGGTGCTCCACATATATCAATCAAGCTTTCAGCCTAGTGCACTTATCTGGTACCAAACGCTCATGAGACCGTTGATGTCAAAGACTCGAGGAGGGCCCCGACGGTCATGATGTACTAGTGTATAAAGTCCATTTGTTATTCAGCTTCTATATGTAGGCTGTGTATATTTGCTCTGCCTTCTACCTCTGCGCCCAGACAGCCATCAAGCCATGACGCTGATCAGCTGTCCGCCTCATCTCCAATACTATACAGCATGATACATCTACGTCTTCCATATAAACTAATCAAGCATGAGCCGATGCCTCTTTTGACTTTTCCAGCCTCAACCCAAGTTCTAGCGCGACACGCGTTTTCCGATGTTCCAGCCCCAAGATCTCAGAACCTTGACCACCTTTGGCGTGATCGCAGCCGTCAGTGGCACTCTTAGAAAGATGAAGCTTTTGTGAATAGCGTACGCAAGTGCCAGCTGAGTACCCAAGCCTGCCAAACCACCCTCAAGTCAGTCCACATTGCCTTTGTGGGATAAAACAAAGTTACACTTACTAGCTTCTTCCTTGTTCCGCTCCTGAGCCTCCTCAACTCCCCAACCAGCCATTTCCACCTTGTCGCTAATATTGTCATTTCCCATCGTCTCTACCTCCTTACTCTTGATAGATTGCCAGTACTCGTGCCACTTTTGCCGAACTGACTCTGGAATGAATCGCTTGACTGTCGATACCACATAGTGTTCGATTTTCCCTAGTACGCATCAGCTCCAAACTCTCTTTCCCCCTTCATACAAATACGCCCCCCTGGCTATTAAATTTATTTCTTCATATCCCTCTCGGCATGGGAAATAGCGACTTCAACATACCAATGGTATCTGTTCCCACAATCCTGACGAGCAGAAAGCAAAACGGGAAATCCAACACGCTGAGCGCCAAGTAAACACCCACTGCTGACCAGCCGTATTCCTTTGATAACCTCTTCAACCGCTGACTAAGCGTGAGCTTTTCCTGCGTGCCGTTCTGTGTCGTATTGCGACGCCATGACGAGAAGCGGAAGCCGCGACACTGTGTTTTCGTGAACGGTCCACCGGACCGATATGCGGATTGACGTGGGATGTTTCGCAGCATGTGGAGGCTAGCATGTTGCTGACTTTGTAGATTTCTGAAAAGGGATCGTTTCGTTTCGGGCAGGAATATTCTTCGCCATGCGCCTGTCCACGCCGGCGAAAGAAGCGGACTGCGTAGACCGACGGCTCGGAACATGTTGTTTCAGGTCTGTCCGTAAGAGAGCTGTTACGAAGCCCCCTCCGTGCTGTGTCGTCTACAAACTTTGAAATGCCTTAGTTGCTGTGATTTCGGGAGCTTCCACTCGGATGACTGACTATTTCAGAAGCTGAGCGAACAATGTGTAATGTCGGCTCGATCGGACGGGCTCGGACTGGAGTTAAGAACCGGCTCCTTGGCCGTTGGCTCTGCGCACTCGCAGCAGAAAAGTTCCGCTGGGACGGTGGGTCAATTCGTTTCGCTGCTGTATCGTCGTGCAGCCACTGTGGTCTTTGTTGTGGTTGGAAATGCGGAAGATGCTCTCTCAGGGCAGTGAATTTTTTTTCCCCAGCCTTGATATCAAGGGATGTGATGTCAGTAAGCCGCCAGCGCGGTAGCCGGCATGCGAGCCGCCACAGGGGTTCCGTGGTGAAGCTCATGTGGAGACATGAGATCACGTGAGCATTTTGGGGCAATTAAACAATTTAATCAATGGAACATTCTTGATGAGGCTTTAAAAATTGCTGACCGAATGGCAGCAGAGTCCTCAGAGGTTTCGGTTTCTTGTAGAGTGATTTGGGAACTGCAGTGTCGTGGTTGAAGCTCAAGAGTGCCCCAAAGCAAGATGCATGTTCGAAGGGCGCAATTATGACGTACCTCCCCGACAAACGCAATAACAATCAAACGTTGATGATGAGGGTGAAATTTGACAAATTTTTAGGCTTGGAGATTTTCTTGGGAGAGAATTTGGCCGCTACTTCGGCTGGAATGGGTTCAATGTTGCATTGGGTCAGTCTAATGCGCATGCTCGTACTTGATCGCCAAAATTCGAGGACCCAAAGACTGGCGTCGGAAAACCTCACTTGGCAGTCGCGGACGAGCTAGACAGACCTCGATCCATATGCTGGTTTTTCCCCCTTTACGAACACCCAGCCTTAGTTCACGGAGATTTAAGAAAATATTGATATCTTAATCACACTAACCATCTAAGTACATACCAAAGCGTCGCATACAACCTCTTGGCCTACAATATTCACGATCCAACCCGCTCAGCTACTCGCAAAATCAATCTGGCTTGCCAGACTGTCAAGTAGAGCAATCGCAAGCTCCTCTACTCAATGAAATGATCAATTACGGGACGGAATACTTACTGAGCACGCCAGCACGTGAGCTTCGCTCGACCCTTTATAACCACCATGGCGCAGCTGGCTGTCAGTTGGCAAGAAGCCATCGCCAGCTGTTCGAAATTAGCTATCCGAAATCGCTCCATGCCACGTGTTGACCTTCAGGGCGATGCGATATAATCGTACCATTTTGTGATTGATGGAATTCCACCTTCATTCAACCCTCAACCCCTTCTTTTGTCGTCCTCCCGAGGTACTGCAGTCCATATGCCCTTCAGGAGCCACTTACAGAGTATTTGCGCCCCATCGCCTACCAGGTACCTTTCGATGCATGTCCTCTTTCTGTGATATGAATCTGCATCGTGCCTTCCTCTTACTTTTCTTTGACCACGCTCGTGACGCAACTGGGAGGTGATAGAATGGCCTGTACGAACTGTTGTCTCAAAGCCCTCTTCGTATAATTCATAGCCCAGAAAGCGTTTTGCTTACCACAATTTGATGCACACGCCCGGCATTCCAAAGAAGCAGGCCCCTTCGCCGCTTGTCCACTCGTTTCTACGTTCATTTTGAGTCGACTGATATTATTTCTTGTTCTCAATCGTTTTCGCTTTGCCTTGTTGCGGGATTTGCCGAGCCTTGTTTACAATGGCATCTACACAGGTTACTTGTGGCAGAAAGAGAAGTTTGCTGCGAACTTTTGGGTCTCGTCGTAGGCACAAAGATTTTATAGTCTCAGTGTCAGCTCCAAGTTGCGGTAGGTTTTCTTGGCCAATAGTCTGTCATATGCTGATCAGAATAGATGTATTCACGACGCCGACGAGACCAGTTTGCGAGGTCGAGCCTGCCATTATTCCCAATGCATCGCCGCGTCGACATTTGAAGCATTCTGACAACGGTGATAGAGATCCAGTCAATTCCAACGGCCAATCTCGTGATGGTGCAACAAAAAGCCAGAATATTCGGCCCGGGGTCGTCGACATAACCCCCAAACGGCCACAGGTACGAAGTCCAAATTGTGTCGCAGGTGTTGAAACACCGATGTTGTCACCATTTGAGATGCATCCCGTCATATTTTCACCGCCCGAGCCCCTATACCAAAGCTCAGTGCGATCAGTTCCTAAGAGAACCTCACTGGAGGCTCCCTACTCGAGCTGCAGTACTCAACATAACCGTCGGTACACCACAAACTCTGCCCCATTGGAGAAGACTGCGGAGCTTCTGAAACTGTTGGATACTTCAACTGCGAACGTAGAAGAGAGTTCTACAGAGAAGGATGGGCTCGCTTCGCGCGTACAAGTCAGACCGGCACTTGCCATGCAGGAGGAAATCGCTGACCAGAGGTCATCTTTACAAGCCCTCGGTGGATATGTACATAAGGCAAGCGCGGAAGAAATCAATGACAAACTCCGGGAAATGCTAGCCGCAATAGATGCTCTCAAACCTCCTACGCCGCAGAAAATTCAGGCTCCGCGGAAGCTATATCGCGTGGCAAGCTCCAGAGTCTTTGCCAGAATGTCAGATGCCTTTGGACGCATGTATAATAAGTCGGCTAGCCCTGAGGTCAGAACTAGAGACCAAGAAAACAGAACTCGGCTGGAAGAGACCGGCATGCCCATCAAACGATCGCTAAGCCAGGCAGATTCAAGTCAGCACTCCATTAGATCGATTGAAATTAGGTTGAATGAGGGTTCAAACCTTGATAGGAGAAAAGTTCAACAACTTATTGGGGGCCCAGTGTTTCAAAAGCCTGTTGCTATGAATGAAATGTCGACCTTGTGCCGCAAGTCGGACGGCCGGACCAACATCCCAGAGTCAGCGATGCCCATGGGAAGGCGTGAAAGCAAGTTGAGATCCTTTTCATCTTCAATGAATCCCTTCGAGGCGGAAGAAGATTTCGAGAATGATCTCGAAAACGGCATATTGCGGGCCTCTCCGGCCGGCTCTTCTACGCCGCGTATCTGCACCAACCGAGATTCCAGCTCCAGCTATGGCGATGATTATGTTGATGACTTGAGCGGATCGAGTGTTGGGCAAGTCAATTTGGCCAGGGTAGTTGTCAAAGTTGGCAAAAATAATGTCGGAACCCCCAAGATACGGCAGGTAAATCTCCAGTCTCCAGCAAATGTAAAGGACTGCTCTCCAAAACCTTGGCAACGATCGAAAAGAGGCCGGGACATGCAATATGACGACGACTTTGGAATTGCGAAAAAGCACCCATCTCCGAGCAAGAGGGACCTTGAAGAATTGGAATTGGCATTCCAGAGATACAAACTTCCCGGACTTCATGCCGAGGATGAGACAGACGAGCTGGCGAAGAGTAATGCCTCACTTGGAGAGGTTCTGACCGCCAAGGACCCGAACAAGAAGATGTTGCGAAACCAAATTACGCAAACGAAAACCACACCAGGGCAACAACGGCCGATGTCTAAAACCGCCCCGTCTCGTATCCCACGGCCATCGAGCCTAGTTGCGAAAAGGAAAGTAACCGGAATCCGACCTGCTGCGGGCTATAGACCAAAGAATGCCGTCCTGGGGGAGCCTGATGAACTACTGTGACGAATAGCGATATTATTTTACGGATGAAGCTGCTTAATGGGTGAATGTTTGAGGTTCATGGTTGGTTTTAGTGCTGGGAGATGAAGAAACGAGAAAGTATTACGAGACGTCGATTGATTGAGGGGCGTGTGGCATCTGCTATTACGAGGAACATGGAAAACACTATGCTAGTGGACATGAAGATATGACGGTATTATGGCTTAAGCACAATATAAGTAGTATTAATTACATTGATTCTCAACCCTTGAGGCCGGAAAGGAGCGTATGTGTAGAAGCAGAGGTACAAAGAAAAAACCCAACTCCAACGCTCACGACTGACGTTTCCATCCCTTTCATATTCGAGCAAAGCCAACAAATGTGCATAAATCAGAGTCACCGTTGTCCAACTCTCATTCGTCTCGTGCCACTAGAAGACGTGGCCGTGCTTGTGGCCGCCCCGGCCATCTGTTCCGTGCATGCGGCGAGCACCAGCAGCCTGGCCATGATTCGTCTTAGCACGAACTCACACCTCGCGTCTGATGCGGGTTATACGGATCTGAGAAGGGGGGAGGCAAAAACGTACCTTGAGGCCAGGCCGCCTCGTCAAGCTACCCCTGAGCTTCATAAACGCACCGCTCACCTTGTCCTTCATGGTGGGCTTGCGCTTCTGGTGATGAGCGTGGCGGGGCCGGCGTGAGAAGAGGCCACGGCGAGGGGGCCGCGTGGTGGTGGTGGTGGTGTGGTGATGGGTTCTGCGTCCAAAAGGCATGATGGGTGTTGGGAAAAGATGAACCACGTGCGTTGGATTGAATCTGGTAAAGGTGCTGGTTTTGGTCTGTGTAGAATACTTCTTCTTGTTGTATGATGGTTCGGCTGGTCATTTGGCTATGTTTCTACTAAGGGGGATAGGTGTCATATATATATACTATTGCATACTCCATACCGAGCTGGCTGGGCCTTGGTTTGAGCGTGAATGAAAGCCATGATCTACATGCGTGCCACACGATGATGCCATCGTCAGGGTAGTTTGGTACGATGAGCACTTGCGAATGAGCCACGCTGGGGAGGGACGGCTTCCACTCAACGGAGGCATCCTGAAGCCATTCAAGGTTGGAGAACCACGGTTCGACGTTGGAAAACTTGGAAATATGATGAACACTTGTGGCTTGCATACGTCACTTGGAGGGGGGAGGGAACATGTGATTGGGTGTTTGGGGTTGAAGCTTGTCGTGTTATTCAGGGTCCTGGTGTGGCTGGTGTGTGGGTGATGTCATGAGTTAAGGCGCATGTTGGAGTATCTGCAAGACAGGTTGTGGGAATGACGACGTTTGGATGCTGGGCTGCGTTTTTGACTCAAGCTTTGGTTTCTGGGTGGCGGGCATGTTTGCGGTGCATGACATTCAAGTCTCTTGTTTACTCTGTCTAGACAAACGGTTGGCCCGTCTTGTGAACGGAACGACGTGGAATACACATTCAGAAATAGACGAAAAGGACGGAGGGTCGTGCAAGGTGCCGACGAATATGCAAACCTACGACCGCAAATTGAGCTTGATTTTGTCAAGATCGGCCTTGGAAAAGCCCATGCCGCTCGTAACGTAGCCCTCCCAGCCGCCAAACCTCTCACTGAGCGCTTCCTGGAAGCGGGCCCAAAACGAGGGCCGCAAACTGACCAAATTGTAAAACCCGGGCGTCTCTGGATCCGAAACGCCCAGCGTGCTCATGGCGTAATGTAACAGCTTCTCGCGTGCGGGCTCGGTGCCAATGCGTGAAAGCATGTAGTCCCGTGTCGATGCCTCGTCCGTCGACGCGGCAAGCGCGTGGAGGAGGCCGGCCACCACGCCGGTTCGGTCACGCCCAGCTGTCGGTGCAATGAGCCCAATGTTTGTCAAGAAAAGAGGGATGGTACACAAGTTACGTACCGGTGCAATGGAACAAGACTGGTTCCGTGGGTCGGTCGCGGACATGCTCTAGTATCTTCCGGATGACAGGGCGATAGGCCAGCGCGCAATTCATATATTCTTTCTTCCAGGCCGTCTCTCCGCCGTCGACGGCAAAGTCCTCCAGCGGGGGCATGGGATACCCTTCCTCGACGTCCAGCCAGACATTTTCGACACCCGGAACGACTGGGTCGGGAGCCTTGTCGCGCTCCTCGGGAATGCGCAGGTCGAAGATGCGGCGGACATGACTGGCGAGCCAGGCAAGGGCCTCGGGGTCTCTGGTGGCGCCCTCGAGGAAGCCAGAGCGGTAGAAGCGCGTGGTTGTCAGGGCGCTGCCGGGAACGGCGCCGAGATCGCGGAGGTTGAAGAGGGAGCGGGAGGGGATGAAGGGCGGCGAGGACAATGCCGGGAAGAGGGCGTCGGCGGCGATTGGGGTGCGGACATCTGCGGCGGAGAGGGCGTCGAGGTCGGCGGCTGACAGGGGCGTGATGGGCTTGATGGTCATGATGGGCCTACAGAGCGTCGTGCATGCATATGGTGGTGTTGAACTGCATTGGGTTGGACGCGATGGGTGTGCGTGTGGCCACGATGGCTGCGGGGGCGGGGGAGTTTACGTCCATCTCTTTAGATGCGGAATGGCTCGTGGAGACTCCGCTGCCATGCAATAGTATTCTCCGTACCTGCTGTGTCAAGGCCGGGAGCATCCGCAAGCCCAAGCCATTGACAGGGCCGCCACGGGGGGACGCCCACCCAACTGCCCAACTGCCCACCAACCAGGCGCCGTGTTTCTCCTCCATGATGCATTGATTGATAGTACTACTGCTAGTTGACCTGCACGCACTGCTCCTGCGCCTGCCCACTGTGCCATTGACACCTCCGAATGCGGAGCATCCACATGCAATATTGATCCCCAAACGCACTTGACACCTACCTGCATGCACTCATTGACTTCACACCGCCCTCACATTACTACCATGTCTGTCAACACCAAACGCGCGCTCAAAATCAAAACTTAAAAAACGCCCTAATCGCCAACATTACGGTCAGCGCCAATCCGTCTCCCGCCTAAGGATGGCCGCGTAACCAGGGCGTTTCTGCCCGTCCACCCAGCCACACAGTGCACACTATAAGCACCAGACATATAAGCAGCATCTCATCCTGTCCTCTCAACATGCCGCGTCAACCTCAACCCAACGGCAGCATGTACCCAATGCCGCTCCCCCGCTGGGGATTCATCTTCTCCGTCATGGCCATCGCCCTTGCCGTGGCAGTGCGTCTACAGCAGCCCGTGGGCGCCGAGCCCGTCACCTACTGCTACAAGTCTGTCCGAACCCACGACGAGGAGCGAGCTTCAGCGACATGCTTCTCCGTCCAGGGCGGCGTCTTCAGCCGCGTCTGGAGCCACGACGAGCGCACGCCGGCCAAGTCTGGGGAATCATCCAGCGAGACCGTCATCAACGGCCATGTGATGCCCGGGCTGTGGGATGGACACGGCCACCTCATGGCGTATGGCGAATTCCTCCACTCAGTCGACCTGTTCGGCGCCAAGAGCCTCTCGGAAGCCAAGGCACGCATCAAGGCCTACATCAAGAAAAACCCTGGCGTTGGTACAAAAGATCGCTGGATACGAGGCGTAGGCTGGGATCAGGACGTCTACGGCCGCATGCCAACGGCTGTAAGTCTTCTAGCCACCATCTTGCCCAAGTCTCTCCAACCTGACAACTAAATCCCCCCTAAAGGCCGACATTGAACATGACCCCGACCTCAAGGGCACCTACATGATGCTTGATCGCATCGACGTTCACTGCATATGGGTGTCGCAATCCGTTCTGGACCTCCTCCCACCTGACATACCCGATATCCCCGGCGGCGAAATCATCCGCGAACCGGGCATGGGCGTCTTCTGCGACAACGCAATGGACTACGTGGTAAAGCTTTGGCCCAAGCCCGACGCCAAAAGCAAAGCTGCCGCCGTGAAAACAGCCATATCTAAGCTCAACCAAGTCGGGCTAGTGGGCATGCACGACGCCAGTTCACTACCCGATGATATCAGCATATACCGTGACATGGCCAGCTCGGACGACTGGACACTCCGAGTCTACGGCATGTACGAATGCCGCCAAAGGAACACCTTCTGCCCTTCAGAAACCACGCAAATCGAAAGAGATGACTCGAAGTTCACCGTCAAAAGCGTCAAACTCTTCGCCGGTACGTTTTACCCTCAACCCGCCCCCCCCTTACTCGTAGTCCCTCAGCGCAATACTCACTAGTGAAACCTCTTCGCCCCCTTAAAAAAGAAAAAAAATTAAAATAGTATGTAGATGGTGCCCTCGGAAGCTGGGGTTCTGCCATGATATCCCCGTACGCCGACCATTCGTGGACATCCGGCTCCCTCCTGGTGAACGCGAGCGCGCTCACGACGCTCACCAAGTCCTGGGCCGCAGCCGGCTACCAAGTCAACATCCATGCAATAGGTGATCTCGCCAACCGCAACGCCATAGACGCCTTCGTTGAAGCCCTGAAACAGCAATGCCCCCTGGCCACCACAGACGCCGACCTGGCCGCCTGCCAGCGCGCTCATCGCTTCCGCATCGAGCACGCCCAAATCATCCACCCCGATGACCAGGCCCGCATGCACTCACTCGGCATCATCCCGTCCATCCAACCAACCCACGCCACGTCGGACATGAAGTACGCCCTGGATAGACTCGGTCCTGAGCGCACTGACAACGAGGCCTATCGCATGCGGTCTGTGCTTGACATTCATCCCATACTTGGGAGCGATTTTCCTGTGGAGCCGCCAAATCCGTTTCATGGCATTTATGCCGCGGTGTCTCGAAAAAACCCCGACACGGGGCTTGGCGTGAATGGTTCGCATCAAGGCTGGCACACGGATGAGGCGCTCAGCCTCGATCAGGCCCTGTGGGGGTTCACTGGTGCGACAGCATACGGAGCCTTTTTGGAAGGGAGGGCAGGCCTGATTAAAGAGGGCGCCTTTGCTGATTGGCTTGTTTTGGACGAACCAATCGGGGCCTTGGACATTGAGAAGTTGCGTACCCTCCAAGTCAGGGAGACTTGGGTTGCTGGAAAGAAAGTATACGCAAGAGATGGATAGTGCCGTCATAAAGGCATGTTTATCTTATTAACTCCTTCATTATTTGGTAGAGGGGGTCTCTCCTTTCGAATAGGATTCAACTATTTCATTTGATGATAAAGAGTCCTACCCAGTTACTCTAGTAGAAGTACGTGTCGTATCTATTGATATAGCTAATAAACCAGTCTGAACCCGGCACTACCTATCTTAACTGTTGTACTTGTCGGCGGACAGTTCTGAGTTACCCGTGGGCGCCGCAAGAATGAACTGCTAAATTCAGTTCAAATTCAACTCCAAAATATTTGGTGAGAAAAAGTTGGTTCCAGTCAGTCTTTCTTCATGGAACATCATAGCAAAGCTTCGAAGACGCCAGGCCCAAAATAAGCTTCACCGCTGATTTAGTTCCAACATGTAATACATGATCAGCTTAGCATGCTGATAAGGTCGCTCTGCCGCCCCATTTCGGACCTGTCAATTTTTGGTAATACACTTGCTTTCGAACCATTTGGCAAACTTGACGGTGGGAATGTCCACCGCCCTCCAGAAGACATCAGCCCACCAAATGACCGTGGGGATGGTAAAGGCCGCGCCCAAAAAAAAGCCAATGTTGTACCAATATCCTTCAACACCGGTAATTCCATACGCCATCTTCTCCCAATGATAGCCAACCGTGTGCATTGCGGGGCCGTGCATTAAATACAAGGCGTATGAAATCTTGCCAAAGTATTGCACAACAGGAGAATTAAAGAATCTCTGCCATGCTCGAGAGTGACCCACAGCCAGGACAAACAAAACTGCGCCTGCAGATTGCCAGTATCGGAATTTTTCTACTTTCCACCACCCAGGAATGAGCGAGGTCAAATAGACCCAACCTGGGGCCACCTCACCTCCATCATCTGGTTGCGACATCAAATATAGGCCTAGGACACTGACAGAAGTCCAAAATAAACTCTTGGCCCATCCGCGAGACATTCTAGGCTGCTTTTCGCTCTGGGGCAAAGCAGGTAGAGGAATGTGAGCACCACGAATATGGTCCGTCTCCGCAAGAAGCATGCCACACAGGAACAAACACAGCTCCCATCTTGAATGCCGATAGCTGAACCATATAATTCCCCCGACAGTCAAAAATCGAATACTAGTCCTCAGGCGTGCGGTGCCAATAATGACAAGAAACAAGTATAGAGAGCATCGGAATTCGAGAGGAATAGTCCATAGATGCACATCATATGCTATGAGCCTAATGTTAGCAATTGCATAGAGCTTCCTGACTTGGAGAGAATATCTTACATGTGCTGCCGCCGTGTTCGTCCCAACCAAATACGTGAACAAAATTGTACATGTGAAGGGCCCAATCTCTGAATTGGGCGTACTGCGACTCCATTCGAACTGGATGAGGCTCGACAATGTTCTTCATATACATTCGGTCACTAGCGAATTGTCGTGTCCATTCGTAGGCACCGATTCTCAGCAGACATATGATCATGAATGTGGAAACGGCAGTTGGTAGATACAAGCGAAGGGCTCGGCGGAAGGTCAGGGAGCTCATGGTGGTAGCAAAATCAGAAAGGGCGCCGCTTCGGATCAATTTAATTGGTCGATAGGATAATGCGTATCCTGAGACGACGAAGAACACGCAAACGGCTACGGGTCCTTGATACCATAGTCTGAGGAAGGGGAGCTTCAAGAAGTGGTAGTTGTCAGTCCCTGTGCCCCAGCTTTTCGCAATTGTAAAGGCCTGATAGGAGTAATGGCAGAAAAACACAAAGAGAGCAGCCAGACCTCTCATGCCGTCTAGGTAGGCCGTAGGAGCGAGCTTCGGGGGGCATAATTGCTCGCGGGCATGCCTTCCCTGCAGGAAACTCGGCATTAGAAACACAACGGCTCGAATCGAGAGCACTCGCCATGGTGCTGAACGTAGGTGACTCCAGCGATCCGCAACAGTCCATAGATGTTTGGAATAATCTGGGTATTGAACTCTGACTCCGAACCAAGACTGGGCGTCGGTGACGCTGCCGCCCTCACTGTCAGAATCCGTGCTAATTTTGTCGTCTAAAAGCCCCAGATTCTCTTCTTGTGAAGAGGTAGGCGTCAAATCATCCCTTGGATTCATTGTCCTGCAATTTATCTGCCTATGGGCGATACAAGAGAAGATGGCGCTTCAGAAATTTGGTTTGGGGAGGCGAGAGGAGTACTGCATCGAGCGATGAAAGGATCAACAAAGATATGACGGTGGGTGTCACATCGAAAGAGTGGATAGAGTTGGTGAATAGAAGAGACCTGAGAGTTTCAGCATCTGATTCGAGAATGGGAAGGCAAGACACGTGCTCAGGCAAAGAGAATGCCAGGTTGTCGATCAACACGCTCTCCTCTCCCCTCTGCAAGAAGGATTATCAAACAGCGTGGTTGAAGGGAAGCAGAGGGAACAGGGCAAGAGAGAGACGGATGGGGAAGAGGAACTGAAATATGGAGTAGTAGAATGGAGAAGTACTCTGGCAGGCGCGGATCTAGCGCTTTCCAAAGGTGGCTATACGAGCAACTCCCCCCCGAAGCCGTTTCGTCGTCAGACGCTCGAGGTTTGCGTCCGTGAACCGTCAAGAGTCAAGACGGTAAAGTCACTCTGGCTGCATTTAAGCACGAGTTCAAACAACTTTACCAGTTGACATATCCAGTGAGACAACACCCTTGCCGGGGAAATAGAAAGACTTCCGGAGGACGGCAGAGTCGTCACTCCATCGGGAACAAAGAAACTAACAAACAAACCGAGTATTGAGGTCGTGTCGACAAACGGAAGAGAAAAACTCCCTTTATTAAAACAGTGCTTGCTGTACAACACAAACATACTCGACTCATTCGACTGGTTTTTGTTCTGCCCCGTGTGCTGCAATCTCTACCACCTTATTCGCACAACAAGAACCGTGGAGCCTGGGAGGGATGATCGACTCGCGCGCACAAGGATCTTCGCTCATGGGTCAATGCTTTGTCCGTACAATAAAATCACACAGCTGGTCATGAATTCTCTTCTGTATTTTGCCCTTTTCGCGTCCTAACTGCTATCAATGGATGCCCCACCCCATTCAAAGTGCCTAACCATTATTTATAGGTGACATGCCAGTTTTCCGGATTTACATTTCCCATTATACACAAAAATACTGCCAATAGTAGCATAACTCGCTTCGATTCCCAATCCCATTCATGCTTCATAACGCCTTTCCCATGCCCTTTGAATACCATCATTACAAATTCATTTGGACGTGTGCATCTAGTTTTCCAGCCAATCCAGGAACTGGGGAGTGAAGTAGCTGACAACAATGGTAGCACCAGCCCGGAGGATACTCTCAGTGGCCTCGAAAGCAGCAGCCTTAAGATCAAACACACCAGCCTTGGCGGCGGCGTGGATCATGGAATATTCACCACTGACCTGGTAGGCGGCAATTGGAAGATCCTTGCCCAAATCCTTGGCATCGCTGATGATGTCGAGGTATTGGCCGGCGGGCTTGACCATGATGATATCGGCACCTTCGGTAATGTCACGGATAATGGCGCGGCGAGCAAGACCGCGACCGCTTGGTGGAAGCTGGTAGCATTTTCGGTCTCCAAAAGACGGGGCGGAACCAGCGGCGTCACGGAAGGGGCCGTAGAGACAACCTGAGAATTTGGCTGAGTAGGACATCAATGTAGTCTTGTGTGCAATCCCCTCCTCGATGAGCTTAAGCTTGATGGCGCGAATACGCCCATCATTCATATCTGAAGGGGCAACGCAGTGAGCGCCGGCCTTGGCGTAGGCAATAGCGACATCAGAGATGCGATCAACAGAAAGCTGGTTGTTCAGGCTGCCGTCGTCTCGCAGAATACCGCAATGACCGTGAGAGGTATATTCGCATAGACAAACGTCGGTGCAGATGAATATTTGGGGGAATCGGCGTCGGATAAGGCGGATAGCCTGGATTACAGGACCCTCGGGGTCGTCAGCAGCGCTGCCGAGAGCATCCTTGGTGCCAGGCTTCATGGGGACACCGAAAAGCATGACAGAACGAAGGCCTTTGTGGACGAGGGGTTCGAGGAACGGCACGAGCTTATCAACGCTCAACTGATACTGGCCAGGCAGTGAGGGTACCAAATTCATGTCATTCTCGCCATCGGTAATGAAGATTGGGTAAATGAACATGGACTATAGCACAAGTTCATGGTTAGTGACAACAAGCTCAAAAAGGGCCAATAGTCATTGGGAATGTCTTGAACCCACCTTGGTCAGTTGGCGCTCAGCCTGCCATGAACGGGCAAGAGGATGGAAGTAGCCGCCATGCAGCTGGCTTCCGATATCACCAGAGATGCTGACGCTAGTGGCAGCGGTGCTAGTGTACGACATGGCTCGAGAAATGTGTGAAGTTCTGTCATCGACCGTGGAGATGGAAGCGGGTGGGGCCGGTCGACGAGAGCCACCATCGCGGAGAGCGAGGTCCTGAACCAGACTCGAGAAAGACATTGTGAGCGATCTTGTAGGATAGTGTAAAGTTTCAATTGATTCCTGCCGAAAGGATATAATTGCCGCCAGCGACAAAGCGGTGTTGATGATGGCAGGCGAAGAAAATGTGGCAATGTGTGCAGCCCGGGAGGCGAGGTCAGGAGAACTTGCGACACAGGCGACGCAAATATACTCCTGGATGTGGATACGGCCGGAGCTTGCAGAAAATCGATTTTTCTGGCCGAGGAAATGCCAGGGAACAAGAAACAAGGGCGATTATGGGAATTTTTGGCGATTTGCAGGCGGGCAGAAAAAAAGTTGTTGGAAGGGGGATGAAGGCAAATGCGTCGTTTTTGGTTCGGGTTTGTTTGCTTACGGCTGACTGGATGGTGCAAGTGCGGAAAGAGCAGTACACGGCTCGGTGTGCACCTTGAGCAGAGCCTGGAAGTACCTCGGAACTGCGGCGTTGCCGCTCCGGAACGGCCGTCGGCTCATCAATGCTGAGTTTGGTCCAATCAACTCTCGCTAAATGCTAATGCGGGGGTAATCGGCCTCGAAGGACTTCAAGCTGACTGGCTTTCAGGTGCCTGTGACTCCGACGACGGCCCTGCAGCTCGGCATCGATTTGGCATTGTGCATTAGAGACACATTTTTCGACAGGTCGTCAGGTGGATGGCGAGCGTCGATCCAGTTCGGCCCGCGGTTGCCATGAGGCGTAGAACATCCATGATCACTTCACAGTTCGTTGCGTCGATTTGTGGTGACGGCATCGACCTGGTAGACTGGCGAACAACTTCCCGAGATATCTTCACTCAACAATTGAGTCTGTTGCAAGAAAGTAGGAGACTGAGCCGTAGCAACAAGAGGCATTCCTTTGTCGCTGGGGTGCATGTGCGAGGCAGTAAAGTATACCTTGTTTGGAGGTGGCGAAATACCTAATCAGTTATTGTAACCAACGTCGTGCAATGCGGCTTGATATCTCAAGTAAGATACTATAGGGAAACTGCCTACGGGATTAATCATGACGTGTTTTTACATGGGCACGGACATCTGAGAAGACAAAATGTCCTTATAGTATAGCTCTCTGCCACTTGTGGCGGGCTTTAAAGCGAGTATTCAGCTTTGGCATTAATACCGACTCTTCTAACACGAAATACGTGGCTCAAATGTCGGTGATCATGGCATGTAACTTTGAGTCAGAAAACCCTTCCCGCAACTCACTATCTTTTATGTCAGGTTTAATGGCATCACTTTCATCACACGAGTAAGCCGAACAAGTTATGCCAATATATCCATTGATCCTCATTGAATCTCTAAATTGTACTAGTACACAACTCATTCCGCCAACTGAGCCGTATTTTTGCATTCCTCTACGAGAAAAAAAAAGAGTTGAAAGGCTGCCCAAACGAAAGCCATCTATAACCCTCGAAGCACAGTATTATCGCGCTTATCCATCGATGTATATCTCTCCTTCAGCACCTCCGCAACGGTACGCTTATCGCTGCCAACCCTTTCAAATCTCTGATCCAGGGCCTTTGCAACTGGGTTCGATGTTGGCAGAGCAAGAGTTCCAGGAGCAGCACCAGCACCGGAGAGGCCAACGGCAGATTTGACCTTGCCTACGACCTCATCAGCCTTCTCCTTACCCTTCTCCAGTGCCGAGGCAACGGCTCCTTGGGCCTCCGATGCCTTTTGACGGGCTTCGTTCTCGGCCTTCTGGGCCTCCCTCCAAGCAACTAGTCTCGCCTGCAAAGCATTATCCTTCACTTTGGCCTCAAAATCCTCCCCTTCTGCCTTGGCCTTCTCAAAAGCGCCCTTTGCCTTGGAGGCAATCTTGCCTGCTGCGCTCTCTACCTCGCCCTTGGTCTTCTTCGACACTGACTGAACCTCGCTCTTGGCCTTGGAGGCGCTGTCTTTTATCGATTCACCAAAGGCTCTGTCCCATAGAGCGCCAATCCGGTCCTCAAGCCCCTCACGAACTTCATCCCAGTCGGTGTGCTGTACCCATTTCACAGCGTTCTCAACCTCCTCGTTCCAACGATCCTTGGCGACTTCAAACGCCTCGGCTCGCTTGGCTGCAGCAACTTCGGAGCGGGTGGGTGGTAATGGTTGAGGAATGGGGTCGATGAGGCTCTGGATAGCAAGGGCTTGGGAGCGTAAAGATCGGCCTTGCTCTTCGCGGCTTCGCTGGTGCGCGAGGACGGAGAGATATGCGAGGGACAGTGTCAGAGTGACGCCACCAGTCTGCAGCCACTAGGTTAGCCGAATTATGGTCACGATTTGCCAATTGCAAAAATCATAGTAATCAGAAACGCACCAAGCCGGTAGCGAAACCCATGGTGTTGGTGTTGCAGAGCCCAGGTCCCAAGCACGGAGTGAGGCTTTTGTGTTCGGATCACGAGATACTCAGACGGCAATTGGCGCGACAAAAGAAACTGCAGATTCCCCGTCTATTTCGCGTAGTTCATGATGCGCAGAACGCGCGTAGCTCTGCAGCAGCAAAGTCGGCAAGTCAATTGGAAGTTGCGGGATGCACTCGAGCGCGGACTTGGGGGTGATGGGTAAGATTTTCGGTCGTTGTCTCGGTTGACGTCGTTTTTGGCGCCGGCACCGAGCTTGGCGAGTTGCCGCTTCAGAAAATCAGCCGGGCTTCAATGCTTGCGGGCCGGCCAAGGTTCCTCCTGCAGCCAGGCCAAAAGTGTGGCTGGGCCAGTCTTAAGCCTCCTAGGCCTCCTAGGCCAATCCCAGGCCAATCCCAGGCCACCTTCGCTCACCACCTGCCTGAATTGATCGGCGACACTACCATGGACTCTTTTTGTCCGTCAGCTGGAAAAGGTCCATCGGCGAGCGCTTCAATAACGACACGTCCAAGAGCCAACAATTGCATAAATACGCTGGCTCTTTTACTGCAGCGCTAGCAAAATGGCTGGTGGTCTCGTCAAATACCGGCATCTCAGCCGAAACTCATCCGCCCGCAAAGCTCTGCTGCGAGGCTTGGTCACCCAGCTCGTGCAGTACGAGCACATTCAGACGACACATGCAAAGGCAAAAGAGGCCCAGCGACTGGCAGAGAAGTTAATTACTCTAGCCAAAAGGGACAATGAGCCATGTAGGAGATCAGCGCAGGGAATTCTTTACGTTGGTGGCCGCCATCACTCCTCGTCTGCGCAGGCATTGGAGGCGCACGCGAGACCGCGATAGACGATGAAGCTAACCGAATGCAAAAGACGCCCCATATTCTGATGCCCAAACTCTTTGGCGAACTACGAAACAGATATCTTACCCGAGAAGGCGGCTACACCCGTGTCGTCCGCACCGAACCGAAAAACACATACGACCAAGGCGAGAGCTCCATCCTCGAATTTGTCGACGGCCCGAAGGACTCACGATTCATGATGACGGCCAAGACAATCGCAAGAGATCGCCTCCTGGGACGGGAATCCACCCCCGTGACGGCGCAGAATATCAAGAAAGTAACACAGTTCCGGGGAGAAAAGGACCTCGAAGCCATGGTTCAGCGATTTCTGGCCTTGCAAACGTCTGATGTGGCTGCTGCAGAGGAGGGACACAGTGAGGAGGCGGCACGGATCGCGGGCGAGGAGAGTTCCAGAGCACAGGAGCTTGCTGCAGAGGTGAAGACGCAAAAGAAGGAAGCCAAGAGTTAGATGGGATGCGGCTGTGGCGAAGAAAAAAGACGGTAGAGAGGGCGTCATCATGCGCCGTGTACTAGTATATTCTTATTCACGATTTATGGCAGGAATATATTTGCCTAATTACCTGTATACCCCCGTATACCATAGTACATCGTAGTATAAAGCGCGGCAGCTACTTGTCTACTCAAGTAGGGCTCTGGTTACCTCATTGCTAGTACACACCATGATAACATATGCCCTTCCGCCATACATTCCAATTTTATACACGCAACAGTCAACTGCATTCAGGCGTATATGAGGCATGAGGTCCTGTGGTGAGAATCAACTGTGCTGAAACTTGTCACTAATCCAGTTACAACGAAATTTGGCACTAAGATTCCACGACCTCGAATGCCAAAACTTTATTATGCCTACCGCAGCTAAACCGCCCACATTTGTAGGACGATGATGGCAGGCCCTAAATCAAGCGCCAGCCTAATTAACTCCCGTAATATAATATTTCTACGCCATGGTTATATGCAAGCGGGAACTTAAACTTAATTTTTGGGGAATTTAAGTATACTTGAGCCGGCCACGTCGCACTGTTTCGAGTGGCAGTGACTCGCGCTTTCCTTCATTCTGTTCATATCTTGCCCCGAGTTCAAATACAAAGCTGCTGCGGCACTGGAATTTCGCCATAATATCAAAACTAATCAGAATTCAAGCTACACATACCTGAAAGTACATAATCAGAAAGTCAGGCAAGAATAATGGCCAAAGCAAGGCGATCAAGAAAGAACGCTACTGGAGGAGCAACTATTGCCCCAATAGCACCGCAAACCACATCTGCCCTCAGAACGGATGGCATTCTGGGCTACAAGATCCGCGTCCTAATGTACGATCTTCTCAACATTACCAAGGATCCGTCGTCAGCAAGGAGACTGAACGCCACAGTCGACGAGCACTATCTCAGCACACCATATTTCACAGCCCCCGAGGCGGAAACCATCAAGAATGCTACAGTCGATGTAGAAATCAGCTCTCATCTTATACCAGACGAGTCCAGTGCTACCGAGGCTATACTGGGAAAGTCACTATACGGGGCGCTTTGCGCTTTGCTCCAGAACTTCCTCGACAAACGAAGAGCTAGCGGCGACGCTCGGCCTTGCGGGCCTCATGATCTGGCGCCTATATTTGCGGCTCTTTTTGGAATAGAGCTGGAGGAGCTGAAGGATGAAAAATTTCTAGGCCGCCTGAGGAGGAATGGGGTGTAATGGTTTTCTTTTCTCCAAGCAGGCTCTTGTCTTCTTATGAGCGCGGAAAGCACGTACTTGTCTGTACATTTGTGCAACCTGCCCGGCTGCCCAAGCTGGTATTCTACACGAAATCAAAAGTATCGCCACGCTCTTGAATTAGCTTTCCAACTCTCTTTGATCCCACAACTCTCTCCAACTTCATTACGTCGTATTTGGAAAACATGACCCGCACTGTTCCTTGTCCGGGCTCGATCTTGAGATCATGCTCGCTCTTGCCTAGATACTCCCCGGCAATCTCTCGATAAAAGATGGGGTTATCCGGCAGTCCATAGAAAATCACCCTCTGCACACCACGGAGCTGATACCGTCTGAAGTGGTGGGCGCGCTCAGTGTACAACAACACCCGGTGACGACCCGTCAAGAAATGCGATCGGGCTCTAGATGCATCGGGGACATCGGTATATTCTGACACAGCGCCGAACGTGATGTCGCTCATGGTGGGTGAGTTGGCAAAGAAGTTTCGAACGCGGACAAAGTCGAGGTACGAGGGAATGAACAGCAGCGTGCCCGTCGTGTCCTTGACACGCTTGACCAGGGTTGGTACGATGGCCGAGACAAAGTATTCGAATCTTGCGTCAGGATCCTTCTCGACAGAGGACGACTGAAACCGTGAAAAGGTCTGCTTTGCTTTGATACCGAGCTGCTGGATCGTGCTGGGGTATTCGGGCTGCAGCCGAACCTTTCCAGCCCAGTTGTGACAATACGATCTTTGGAGCTCTGAGAGCTCAGGAGTATTGAAAGCAGACAAAACAATGGTTTGTCTGAAGTATTTCGCCCAGTCTTCGAGGTACCAATTTCGAAGACGACTAAAGTCACAGCCATGCGCATCCTTGGGTTGCAAGTTTAAGTGCTCAAAGATGTACTCGACATGTTCCCAGTTTTGCATGAGCAGCGCATCGGCTTGGTCAACAATGACCATTTCAATGGAGCTAAGGAAATCATAGTCGGGTTTCTTCTTCTCTTCTTCAGAGCCAATTGCCATTCGAAGACCAAGGGGACTAGCGAGGAGGATATCTGAACTGTAAAACTGGGAAAAAAACTTGATTGTTTTGCGGGTAAATTTGACTCCAAGCCGAAACATGTCATCGTCGTTGCCTTCAAAAAGAAGTCTGAAATCTTCGGGTCTGTCATGTCCAAAATTGGATTCTTTGTCAATGTATGAGTCGTCGAACCTTTTACGGTTTTCTTGCTGGTCGGCGTCGCACATGTCGCGGATAATGTTGATAATCTTAGCACAAGAATTTCTCGTCGGTAGTAGGAAGAGAACCTTGGGCCGGGTGAAGCCTTGGTCTCGAAGTTCTAATTCTGTGTCCTCACTTTCCTTGGCTAGCTTATAGCTGTTCTTGATTACACGATCCCTCGTCCTGGAACAATGTTAGCCAACAATATAACGCAACGAGCTCGGTTAGCAAACTCACTTGAAAACATGATTCAGCGCATGTAAACACACCGCTTGTCGCAAACCTGTGGCATTCTTTATCGTACGATCGCAGTGGAAAATATCTTTGTATCCAAATAGCAGTGGCAGAATCGCCTTCTGTGTCTCGTCCGGTTTATCCATCTTCTTGGCAGCCATCTCCTGCAATTTCTGCTTGAGCTTTAACTCTTCGATACCGCAAGGATGAGGGACATCCATCTTGCTACCAGAGCCAGCAGACATCATGGTAGCTCGTAATGATGAAACAAACGCTCTCGTCGTAACCCAGTCGTCGTTCTTGACTGCTCTAACGGTCTGCCCGACTTCCCGGTCATTTGGATGCGCAAAATGAGCGTCAAATGGATCCGTGAGTTCCTCGTCATCTTCAGAGTCGGGCTCCTCCTCCTCCTCAAGTTCATCGTCATTGTTGTCGACATCCTCAGCCTCATCAACCTCATCCACGTCCCCCTGATCCTGATCACTTGCTGCCTTCATGTCCTCATCTTTAGAGCTGTCGGCTTGTGGTGAATAATCACTGTGCTCTAGTTTCCGCCTCTTTGCTGTGGGGGCACTGGAATCATTGAAACTCTGCAACAGAGCCATATATGGGCGAGCAGCTGGCGTTTCCTCCTCGTCATCAGAAGCGCTGGCGGCCAATGCTTCATCTTGCTCATCCTGAGAATCACCTCCAGATTCCGACTCGATTTCCCTAATTGGCTTGTAAATATCCATACTATTATCCCGACTTCGGACCCCAAAAGAATATCAAAGGACTTACTCATCCCTATCTGCCAGTCGGTCGCCTTCAAACCGCCTCATAGGCCCAGAGCGACTGAATCCTCTCCCTCTACCACGTCCTCCACGAGCCCCTCGTCCTCCTCTGCCTCTAAAATTGCCGCCTCTTCCACGTGGTCCCATTATGTATCAAACTACGGAAAGATATGAATAAACAAAGTCAGCTAATCGGCGGACAAAAAAAAAAGGCAGCCGGGCACCACGCAGTAAATAAAAGTACACCCAGAAGACAGACCCGCTAAAAAAGTTCAAACTTCACTCGCAGCCTTGCATTGGCGAAAGACAGCCGCGCCCAGCCACAGCCATGGTGGGGGCTCAGCCACGCTTCCCTTATCGTGGCTTATCGGTGCGCACAACCCCAGCCAGAGCCCAGCCAAACCGTGCAAATCGAAAAATCGGCGAAAACTGAAAGGTGGGCATCGCGAACAAACTGAACGGCCCAGAACAAGACGAAGCGGGCCCTCGACTTTTGCTTCAACCTCCCGGCCCCCTCCACGCCCATCCCGCATCCTCGAACGAACGAACGCCGCTTCGTGTCGATATCCTTGTTGCCCAGTATGGCCGCAGCCGCTACCGAGCGCTTCATACACCTGGCGCGTCCTTTGACGCACGCCAACGCTGGACTTCAGTCGAGCATTGCCCCGCTTGTCGTCAACATCCAGCCTCAGGTACATATCACGACCCTCCTGCTAGCCCATAAAAATCTTTGGTTTCATCTAAATCGTCTTGGGCTGGCTCTATCAATACAAGACGCCGTGCTAATCTCCTTCTTCCTCCCCTCAAAATAGGCTATCCTCTCGGTCCTGGACCACGCCGTCCGACGGGACAACCGCGACAATGCCCAGTCGACCCGTGTGATCGGTGCCCTCGTCGGCACCCGCTCCGAAGATGGCACCGAAGTCGAAGTGCGCTCCTGCTTCGCCATTCCCCACACCGAAGAGGAGGACCAGGTCGAGGTCGATGTTGAATACCAGAAGAACATGCTCGCCCTGACGCTCAAGGCCTCTCCCCGCGAGGCGCTCCTCGGCTGGTACACCACATCCCCCGAGCTCAACAGCTTCAGCGCCTTGATCCAGAACTTCTTCGCCAGCGCCGAGACAGGCACGGCCCCTCACCCGGCCGTCCACATGACCATCTCCACCGAGCCCGGCGAGGACATCCAGACCAGATGCTACATCAGCGCCCCCGTGGCCGTCAACGCCGAGCGCGCCGCCGAAAGCTGCCTCTTCATCCAGGTCCCCCACAAGATTCTCTACGGCGACTCTGAGCGTGTCGCCCTCGAGGCCGTCGCCAGCGCACAAAACAACGAGAACAGGACCGCACCTCTGGCCTCAGATATCGAGGGTCTCGGGCGGTCCATCGAGCAGACCTTGAACCTGCTGGACCGCGTGAGCGAGTGGATCAACGGTGTGCTGGACGAGGAGGAGGAGCCCAACACCGCCCTGGGCCAGTACTTGATGAGCGCCCTGTCTCTGACCCCCAAGGTGGACGCCTCCCAGATTGAGCATGACTTCAACAACCACATCCAGGACGTTCTCATGGTCAGCTACCTGGCCAATACTATCCGCACACAGATCGATCTCTCGCAGCGACTGGCAACCGCCAACCTGGTTAGTAGCGACAAGGACGGCGAGGGCAAGGGTGACGGCGACAAGGGCGGTCAGCGTGGAAACAAGCGAGGTGGCCGTGGCGGTGCTAGGAGTGGTGGCCAGCAGCGTGAGCCGAGGGAGCCCAGAGAACCCCGTGAGCCGAGGGAACCTACGGAATAAAGAAAATGTGGGACATGAGTATCAGTGTTTTTTTATGATGGTGTCGATGTGCGGTGGAATTCTCAATGCTAGAGAAACGCGGAGGAAGACGCCTAGGGTGCCCCGGTGTTATGAAGAAAGGACGCTGCATGTTTTTTTGAACGCAGATGTGGGAAGCCGGGTACGGAACCTGGGCACCGTGCCATACAACACATCATCATCATCATGGCGTTGTGGTTAGCCGTATTTAATTCGGTAACTGAGACTTTAGAACCATAAAAATTAAAATGGGAATCTTTAAATCGCCATCCAGTGTTTCATTGAAGGGAATAATATGGTTATCAATGTAATGCTCTTCATCTAGCGACAATGCGTATACCCTACGAAAAGACATAGACGTGGAGTTCTTTTTCATCCTATCCACCGATAACGCCAAGAAAAAAGTAAAAAAGGGGGAGTGAGAGAGAAGGAGAGGAAGATATAATGGAAACCCGTTCATGCCCAGATGCGCCTGTTTGACTCGGCCAGCTGCCCCTTAACACCGGATGATGCATCCTAAATCCCAGTAGCCGGCTTCTGTGGTAAAGTAGCCGGATTGCCATAGGTAGGCAAATGAGTAAATATCTGACCAGCCCCTTGAGGGACAGGCATTGGTGGTCGACCGGGAATATGAGCCGGAGAACCCTGTGGTATGTGCTGTTGGGGAGGACCAAGAGGCACAGCTGGCATCGGAGGTAGTTGAGGCTGCTGCATATGTGGTGAGGGGACATGCGGTACGGTGTGATAACCAGGCATGGAGCTGCTTGATCCCTGCCGTGCCATAACGTACCCTCCGACATAAGCTTGAGGGACGGATGGAGGATAAGCTCCATATGCCAAGTGAGGTGGAGTGCCAATTTGTGGGCTGCCGTGATGTGATCCAGGAGCCGTAAAAGGCGGCTGCGGAGGCGGCACGATCGGCATGCCATTTCCGCCAGGAACAAATGACTGAGTCTTTGGGTTGAAGGCGTGGTTCCTATTGTAGCTACCAGGGATGGGGTGCTGGCTCTTTGGGTCGTTAGGGTTAGCATTGACAGGTAGTTGTCCAAATGCATAAGGTATTCCAACTTGAGTCGGTCCTGATGTCTGTGCAGGCACTCGAGTTGGGTAAGAGGGCTGGTTATACCCTGGCTGTGCCCAGACCTGCTGCGGTGCTGCACCCGGGGCAACAGGAGCACCGTACGTTGTCATAGGACTCCCACTAGATGGGAAACGCTGTTGCGGGGGCTGTGGAGGATATTGCTTGAGAGCTTGTTAGCACGCACATCTGTCGGATTTCGTCTGATCAACAGTACATACTTGGGGCATGCTGTAGCCGGAGTAGGCTGGGTTGGGTGCCATGACAGGCATATTGGCATAAGTGGCGGTTTGCTGATTATAAGCCAGGGGAACCTGGGCTGGATATGAAGCCTGAGGCTGAGGAACAAATTGGCCTGATGCTGAAGGAACATATTGTCCTTGCGACTGAGGTACCCATGTCTGTTGTTGAGGGCCCCAATAAGGGGTATACTGGTTTCGGGAATCGAAACTGTCTGAATCGTCTCGCCGTTGCTTGCCAGACTTGCCTCTCTTTGTGCTTCCTGTCTTGTTACTAGCAGAGATGGAGCTTGTGCGAGACATGCCAGTTGCACCGTCATTTTCTGTACTCGTTCATTAGTAAGCTTAGAAAGAAGAGTTCATCAGATTCGTTAGTTTGTTTACCTGGGATGCTGTCTTCTGAACTACCGAAGATACGTTCACGAGCCACCTTGTATATCTCCTCGCGTTGTTCACGAGAAAGCCTATTAAATCATAACAGTTAACATCCTTGGTATTCTGGCAATTGGCAAGTTTGACCTACTTGGGGTTCGCTGCCAGCTTGGCATCTTTGATCTCACTGCCCGACTCTGATGTAGGCTTGGAGGCATTGGCGCTCATTAGACCCTCACCATCTTGACCACGCCGCATGATCTTCCTGGGCAAGACTGCGGGGGGTGGTGTGCTACTTGAAGATGGGTTGGATTGAGGGCCCATGGTAGCTAACGAGGGCGGGACACGGCAGAAGGGCGTTCTAAAGATTCGGACCGAGCCAATGTGAGGTTCATAAGAATGTGTCATGTGATAATAATCGGCCAGTTTGTGTGTCAGCATTCTACAAAATGAATTGGATGGCGGCAAGTCCATGTATGGTTCCCTGTGAAGTGTGTTAGCTGTGTCAAGTTGCGGTGTATGTGAGTGGAGGTAGAAATTACTTGGAGTCTTGAACAAAGTCAATTACGTCTTTTTCCAGTCGAAGTAAGAAATACCGATCCCTAGGGCTTGCCAAAGCATCTAGAAGCTTTTCATCCGGAGCCTGCCGGTATATGACATTCAAGGCATCGGGCGATCCATCGGTACTCAGGGGTACAGCAGCGGCAAGAGGTGGACCGCGTTCAGATGAAGCGCTCTGCGGTGTGAGAATACCATGAGGAGGCACACACATCGCTACGTGTGCCGCCTTTCGCTCAGCCAAGTCTCCTGATAGTATACCCTTGTTCCTCAGAGCCACATCTGAGCTCATTCGAGACCCAGCGACCAACGAGCCACGAAGGGAAAAGGTATCATCGTCCTCTGCTGCAGCCTGAACACTAGCACTGTCGTCAGGGCGTAGTGACTCTTTCTCGTCAAGCGCGAATGTCGTCCCAGATGTAATGCTCTTCCCATCCAGGCTTGGTGGCTTCGTGCCCAAATCTGAGCTAGAATCGCATTTCTGAGAATCGTCCGAGCCACTCTCTTTGCCCAGGTTTGATCGTCGGGGCTCTGGTTCGGATACAGAGCCGCGTCCATCGACAACTAGGCTAGGAACTTTTGATGCAATGTTGAGGCCATTGAGAGATGAGACGATGACAGCAACATCATTCGACTTGGGTGCTGCGGCTCGTTTGCTCTCGGGGCTAGAGGAGCCGTCGGCAATGACGGCTGTGGAGGGAACATTTGAATCAATTTTGGCGGTGGCAGCTGTCGGCGCAGCTTCCTTTGTGACAGTGGCCGCGACCTGAATCGTACATTGGGTATCAGTACCGGGCAAACATGACCAAGACGGAGAGAAGCCGCTTTCACGTACCTTGGCAAACGACGGTTTAGGCATGTCTGGAGAAACCTGTGTAGTCGCCATGGTATGCGAATAAATAAAAAACCGAAGGGGTTGGGATATCCAACACTGGGCAACGCTGATAGATGATGGTGATGAAGGTGGTGAAGGCGAAACCCAAACAAGAATTATTTTCAGACACCACTCGTGGAGGACGGGTCAGAGGAGAATCGCAATTCGCAGACCAAGGTGACAGGAAGGGACAGGAATAGAATCGAAATCAAAAAGCAGAATCGATCGAGACGAGACAGCGGACAAAATTCAGAGTGGTGGTAATCATCGTCGGAACAAAATACGCATTGCTTCTAGTTGTTGAGACTCGGTCGGGTAGCAGGGCGCGGCGGGCTCCTTTGCGAGCAGGCCGAATATATGGGAGAATGTCCCTGAAAACACCATGCAGACACCGAGCCGTGGTTCAGAGATGGGTGCACTGACGGTGAAGAGCGAGGAAGGTCGTTGGAGGGGAGGTTTTGAGGGTCTGAAAGTTGACGGTGGGGGTCTGTCTGGCTGTGGATGGCGGATGGCAGATGGCAGAGATGGAATGGCGTCGGGTTTGCGCGATTGATTGATTGACCGAACAAAGACCAGCAGACACCTACAGCCACAGGCGGCCTGACCTGCCAGAGCACAACCAGTGGAGCGCCAGGATCCAACTCTACGGGCGTGTTCGATCCCAAGATGCTGATGGTGTCCAGAGAGGGCCTCAGGCCGATGCCATGGGTCGACCCGAGAAAAGCGGTCCTGAATGGGCAACAAAAAAAAATATGGATGTGAGGCTGTCTGGTCGAGCGTTCGAGGGCAGATGCGAAACCCTCGAGGCGAGCGAGTGAGCTTTCGCTGTCGACTTGGTGCTGGGCGGAAAATGACCTAGCGCCGGTAGATTCCTCAGCCTCTTATTGCTCACCAAGTGTCGAACTGTACATGTACGGTGTACGGCGTACGGCGTGCCAGGCCAACTGAAGCAACGAACAGCGGCACGGAAGTACGTATTCACTCACCCGCCTCCCATCAGACCAGTTTGACCCGCACCACCGACGACGAACAAACCGGGGCGCTGTGTGCTCGCTGACTAAGGATTCTCGCTATGGCGCCAGCGGATGACTGCGGCAACAGCCCAGGAAGCATGACGACGCAATACAAAGCTTGTCTCAGCCAAGGTCCATGCTGGCAAATGGTAAATTGAAAAAGGACGAAGAAACTCACATATTTTGACGTCTGTCTATCCTCGTCTCGAATATCCCAGATAGCCCTCGCCCCTGATCGCATGAACTCGCCGTGGTGCTTGATGTCACGTGAGACCGTCTTGGCACCGGGAAGCAGAATTGACGATCCACTACTCCGTACCGTGGTTCGGATTTCTCTAATCTGAGTAGCGAACTTGGACTGCATGACATGCCAGCCCAGTTTTCATTAATATTCATTTTGCATGCTTCGTGACTCCGTTATCACAGTGGGATTCGCCATCCAAATTCAAAGGGGTAATTCGAAATGTTTACCTACAGAGGACGAGGTGGTCCCTCTCGCTCAACCCCAGCCAGTGTTCAATGCCAAAAGTGCCTGAAACGAGATATGTCACTTTGAACCCAGTTCAACAAAGCTCACAAGGCTAACGTTCCTAGCACGGCACTACTCTTACGAGTGTAAAAGCTCAACGCAAGAACGGCCATATGCATCTCGCCCATCAAGATCACAACAGCTTCGCAATCCAAAGCTGGTTCCCAAGCTCACAAGTGACACGCCAAACCCGCTAGAGAAAAAGTTGGTGACGTCCCTTGATACTGCTTCTTCGCTGGAAACAGAAGCTAACAGATGTGTAGGGCTGGAGTTGCAGATGAGGTGCTGCGGAAAAGGGCGGCAGAACGTGCCAGACAGCAGGAAGCGGAGGAGTCGGATAAAGAGAGCCTGCCACCATCCCCAAAGCGTCGCAGATCAGCATCATCTGAATCTGTTTCTACAATTTCAACAGGTGATTCAAGACACTCTCGCTCCCCAAGGCGCCGCTCTAGATCTCCCCCTCCGCAGAGGCCACGACAGAGCCCCGATTCTGTCCAGGGCGGCGGCAGACGACTTCTCGAGCAAAGCTTGAGTCGTAGCCCGCCTCCCGCTAAGCAAACTAGACGGTCCCTGTCAAGAGACAGTCTTTCACCAAGGAATGAGCGTCAGGAACAACGCTACCGAGACCGTAAGGACCCGGAGAACGAGGGGGTGAGGCCAAGGCGGTCTCGCCACCGCAGTCCACCACGCCACCATGCCAGGGAATCTAGACGACGTATTTCATACGCCTCAAATTCACCAGAGCCACAAGAGAGACAACCGCCTCGCGGACAAGATCATGGGTCACGACACAACGATCGTGGCAGAGGAAAGGATGCCGAACCGCCTCGGCAGCGTAGTCTCAGCCCCTTTAGTCGAAGGTTAGCAATGACGCAGTCTATGAACCGTGGAGAAAGATGAAGGGTATCATATGTTGTATTCTCCTTTGAAACTATATAATTCAAATCATCGTCCCTGACTACCCGCCGATGCAAACTCCAACCAAGATATTGTAAACAAGATGTAAATATACAGCCTCTGGCACGGCTCAGGCCAAAAGAGCTTCGTCCTCTGCTCGTTCCCTCATCTCTTCCTCTTCTTCTTCCTGTTCCCTAACTCTCAAGCCTTCCACAAGAGCAACGCCATCCATACCGACAGCATCCCCGTCGACATTTGCGCCGTCCGCGGCTGCGGGATTCGTAGCTGCCTTTTGGGCCCCAGAGATCCTCTCTCGGACCAGCCGCGCTATCGCATTGTCCGTCCGAACATTCAAAATATCCACTTTTGCTTCCAAGTTCCGCTTCAGGTCCCAATTTGGTTTTTTCGGCTGTAGCTTGAACAAATCGAGCCCCTTGTCATCCTGCGCCTCTTCGGCCGCTTGCTGCCTGACTTGGGCCTCGACGTCTGCGGCTTCCTCTTCTAGAGTGGGATTATCCAGGCCCTCGTTTGGCGCTTGCTCGAATCCAAGCTTGGGACCTTTTGTTTCTGGATCATAATTGCGTCCTGAAAGATGTAGACGCGAGACGTCTGCTTCTGGAGTTGCCGAGGGAGAGTTTTCAGTTTCTGGTGCGGCAGCCTCGTCGTCGTCGTCGTCGGGCTTCTTTCGTTTTAGATTTCTGAGGGTGGCAAGTCGCGACTTGCGTTCTTCTGACGCGGCGCTCAAGCTGTACTGAGAAGATGACATGGCGCGCAGCACTGTAGCTGTAGAACAAATGCTTCAATGCGCGATGCAGGTTTGGAGTAGATCTTGCTTGGTGGGGCAGCCAGTGGTACGTACTGGTCGAAAAGTTGGACTCGAGCCGCGAGCTTGGCGCGGCGGCGGCTAATAAGGCATCCATGTCGCTACATTTTAAATATTTTTGATGGGTCCGACGCTTGGGGAAAACGTCCAACTCCAATTCCAGATCCCCCCCCGGTAGCCACCTTGTGCATGCGCCGTGACGAAATTCGCTGCAGCTTTTCTGATGGAAACTCTACCGTTATGAGTGCAGTGATTCGCAGATAACTGCCGTACCAGAAGATGCGGACGGCCTGCAGCCTCAGTCGTGTCGGCGGCGCCCGACTCTGTACCGCGCCTCGACTACAACCAAACGCTCGAGCGACACTGGGTAAGGCACAACGGCGCCTTCTCTCAAATTGCTTTCAAAGACTTCTACCTTCTGTGGAACCGGGCGACTTGTTAGGTCGAGCCCAACATGATGAGGGGCAGGCCGCCCTTAGAAACCGCTTCGTGGAACCTACAACCCCTAAATCGAAGCTCACCAACGCAACATCAGACCGTACCTCTGCGGATTGGGGGGGAGATAGTGTTGACTTTGCTACGCATTGTCGACAACCAGACTCAAATAATACAGAATACGATGGCCGTACATCACGGTTCCGGGCCAGACCAGCAAATCCAAAATCCCCAACTCCACGAAAGCATGCCCGACAAATATTGAGCAAGCCCAGAGCTAGGAGAGGCCCAATGAGCGAGCAAGATATGCACCAGCAATGGGGTTACCTTCGTCATCAGTACTCCGGGGATGAGCTGCTAACGAGGCGGAAGGCCTTCAATTCGTGGAAGGAAAAGTTCTACAAGGTTGCCCGCAATCGTGACCCGTCTTGGCCTTGGAAAAAGAGTAGTCAATGGCTAGTAGAGCACGAGACTGTTGCAAGCATGCGCTTAGCTTGGCAAGAACTAGACAATGAGTCTCGACAGAAACAGTGGCCACGAATCATGCTCTCCACGATGTGCATCTGTCCAGAGAAGACGGCCATGGTTTTAGAAGCCACGCTGGACCCCTGGCCTCCCGGGTACGCCATCAACGATGCTTTACTGTTTATCATGCAAAGGCTAGATCTTGCAAAGGCGAAGAATATCCGCGAACGAACTCTGAAAGCTGAAGAGGTAGCGGATTTGCTTCACAAAATAATAGTGGACAGTCGCAAACAACATGTTCCATTCACCCAAAGGCTGTTGGGACTGTCCGCCAAGAAGCTGCCCAGCGAACAAGCTTCCGAGCTGTACTCTCTTCTTCAGCGGTCAGAGATCAAGATCCATGCGAATACCATGATACAATTTGCCAGCAAATTAGCTAAAGACCCTATCCACAAAGCAACTGCCTTTAAGATACTCCAGGCATTATCTGATAGCGGTGCCGATTTGAACGAGGCCCGGCCATCAAGCGTCATTACTTCATTGCTTCACTGTCAAGTACCTGAAGGAGTAGAACCAGTCCCAAATCATGCCTTCTCTCCGAAAGATGCTCTTGAATATTTTGTACAAAGGGGGTTTACGTTGAACCTGCTTAGTGCAACAGCTTTCCTCGATACCCTTTCCCAGCAAGGAGAGGTTGACGAGGCAATACGACTTGCATTGCTCTTCTCTGAATCCGGCATTCAATTGGATCGCAAGGCCTGGGCAACCGTGTTCAGAGGGGCAAAAACCACTCGTAATGTTGCAACTGTTGCCAAGGCGCTGGACGTGGCCAAGGTGGCAGATGTTCCATTTGTGGAGGTCCTGAACAACGCGCTTCACAGTGCTTTTCATTTCGCCGGGATGGAAGCGGCGGAGAAGAAGAACCAGCTTCGGTCTCCCCAGCCGAACCTTTTCGGGCCTCTGCTGCGTATATACGCCAAGAAATTCGACCTCCAACCGCTTCAGTGGTGGTTGCCAGACTCTCTGCCGTTGTACCTAGCGCAAGGTATTGGCCAGCAAGGCCTTGTCCCGGGAAATGCATCACAAACAAGATGGCAATTTGAAACTACCATATTGCCATTTGTGGATCAACTGTTCTCATCAGGCGATGACACAAAGCTGCAGCCAAACTTGACGACCATCGCAATCATGATGCGAGCCTACATCAGAAATCTGCGGCAGCCCTACGACCTAATGGCATACTACCAATTTTTCAAATCAAGACTAGAGGAACAGAGCAAGGATGCCTCTATTCCGTCAGCGTCCCGACTGATCAAGAATCAAGGCAGCCTCATACACGACACTCTCATCTTCACAATGACAGAGCACGGTGAACTCTCACGTACCGCTCTCCAGGTGTTCGGCGACATGCTCAAGGACCAGCTGCACGCGAATGCGGCAGACGCTGGAAGGGTTCACGTGGAAGGCGACGGAGTGGTTGTGACAGCGCCGGTTCACCCAGCACCGACGGTGTTGACGTTCACAATCTTATTCCGGGGCCTGATGAACAACCGTGACCGGATGCTGGTGGACAAAATCGTTCAGGTTATGCGTGAGAACGGCATTCAGCCCAACTTGGCGACATATAACACCCTGACGAGCGGGTATGCATCCATGCAAGATGTCGCCAAGACGGTCAGCACGCTGCAGGACATGGAGGCAGCGGGGTTCAAACCTGATTCCTACACGTTCAAGGCGTTTTCAAAATTGAAGGACCAGGAGAGAGCGCTTCAGATGATGGAGGACATGATTGAAGTTAACCGACATGGGATGGGTGCATGACGAGCTGTGAGGGTGACACATGAAGTTGCATTGTTATGCGGGCGGCGTTGCGGCCGATCACTTGATGCCGTATAGAATTGTACACTAGAGTGAAACATTGTAAAAAATAACAACATGACTGATGATGGTACCTACAACTATTCTGGCGAAAGTGTGCATTACCTATCGTTGGCATACATGTTCGGTGATGGCGCTTATGTCCGAGGGCCGTGGCTCATCCTGCTCCCAGCCATCATCACCATCCGTTGTCCGTCACCACTCGGCCACACAATTTCATGTCTCAAACCAGACATACGGGTCAAAATAATCGGTCCTCGAATCAAAATCACCTCGCAAGCTCTAAGACCTCCCCTGGAGCGTAAACTACACTCCTCCATGTAGCCAGCCTCAGCTATCATCAGGACATGCATCAACCCACGAATGCTAGAAGCAAGTCTCACCACCTTCACGACCGTCTCCCGCACCAACTATTCCCACCGCATACGACGCAACTGCTTCTGCCCCATCATGCACCGCCTGCCAACGGCGCAGTGTCTTGGGCTGCGCTTATGCCTGGAATCCGGGACATCTAGACGCTTCTGGCCACGGATGGATCGTGCGAGGAGGAGGGGGAGGACTCGGAGGATCGCGACCTCTTGCTGGGCGGCATCTTGTCCACCCGTTCCATCGGCGGTACGAGGCCTTCTGGCAGAAGCCCCCCGTCGGTCGCCTTGCTCTGGATAAGCATACTCTTCCCCGTGCTGCCATTTGGCTCCAGCCTTGTGCCGCCGCGTCTGGCTCCTAGTCGTCCGGTGTCCTCTTCTCCTTGCAGCACGGAATGCCGTCCATCATCGACGACGGGCTGTGTGTGCGCCGCATCGTCCGCTCCGCCCTGTGCGTCGAGCCACAGCCCTACTGCCACGTCCACGTCCACGTCCTCGCCCTCCATGACGGCCATGAGAAGGGGTACGCCGCGCTCCCGCCCTATCTTGAGATTCGGACCATTGCGGAAACGGCATTCCCCAGCCAGCACTGCACCATCATACCGCCTCATGCTGGAGATGATGTATCTCCAAAGGGCCTATGTGTCCTTCACAGGCTGTGTCTCAGCAGCAGGCACGCTGGTTCGCGACGAATCTGCCGAGAATCCTCATCACCACATCGAGTTTGGCTCGGCCATACGGAGTACATGTACGGCCCCGCGGCAGGCTGTAGGAGGACAGGCACATGGTCGCCAGTCTGACATACATACTCCGTACTCCGTACATGCCATCACTTCCTAGTGGCAGCCATGGAGCTGTGCATCGATCTAAGCGAGGCGGCAGACGACAGGTACATCCCATCCAAACCTCTCTCTCCACGGCCTGCGTCTCTCAACACGCCCATACTAACACGCCGGCAGTCCGAGAGACAAGTCTCCTCGCAGTCTGTCCACTCCATCTGGGCCTCTCGAGCGTTCGAACCAGACCCAAAGACGCCAAGCTCGCATCCCAAGTCCTGCACGCAGGGCGGAACAGGCTCAGTACACCCAAACAAGTACACCTCTCCCCAAACGACCCCATCCGCGGCTTCTATCCCATGCAACCCCCTCCCCAACCTCACCGGAAGGACAGACAACGCCCCGATAGAGAACTTGAACGCACTTCGCCCCCCTACTCGGCATGAACCATAGCCTCCCCAGCCCTCAGCCAAGGCATCACAGCCTCGAGTCACCAACTAATATGCTCCGCAACACGGAAGAGAAGAGAACAGAGAGAAAGAGAGAGAGACCGAATTGAGGCGCAGCACAGCCTTGTTCCTCCAAAAGTGCAACATGCGCACCTGCTTCACTATTACACGACATAAACCCTTGTACAAAGCATTCCCCCGCCTCCCCAAACCAAAAATTGAAAGAACATTGGAATGGCGGTCTGCGAGGTTGAGGCACAGTCTTGTCACGTTTAGACGCGGCTGGTTGCGTAAATGGGCCAGAGACTGCAGGGAACAGCCCCGAGCCGCAGCCAACTATTGTTCAGACCACGGGCACAAGTCTGGTTCCTTTTTTCCTTTTGTTTTGTCAGGCAGGGCCGGCGTGCCGGGACTGAAAGAGGAGGGAGGGTGTTTGTTTTCCCGAGGCCACCGAAGCGCGCTTGAACAGGCTTCCATTCTTCGAGAATGGGGACAAAGTGCGAGCGGCCTCTGGGCGCAGCGGCGACGTTACACAGAGAGCCACCCCGGTTCCTCTTCCTTGCCATTGCAAACGCGGGGACGCGCAACAAAGTGTCATTGTTTATTTTCATTTAAATACCCCCCGGGTAGTTGGGTATCTTTCTCGCAAGGGAACCTTGATCTCACCTGTGATGGAAGCGTTGGGCCAGGAGAGGAAACAAGGGGAGAAGGGAAAAGGGACAAGGGGAAAAAAGGGCAAAATACACGACCACGACATTCGTAATAGAGCCAGAAGCTCGAGTCTCTACTGCGTCTCCCATCCATTCCCAGTACCAGAACGCTCCGCAAACCCTCCGCTACGATAAAAGTCTAAATCGTATTCCCCTCCCACGACCCTAGTATCGTATAGCTCTTGGACGGCATAATTATACAGCATCCGTCCAGGAATCGAAAAAGAGCAAGATATCATGAAACTTTGATTTTCTGCTTTAATTGCGTACATCTGGCCCCATATGACAGTTGTACTAGATGCTATAACTAGTCCATACTCAACTGCTAGATCAAACCAAGGGCAGACAATATTGTACAAGAAAAATATGTCGGTCGTACACATGGGTATCATGACACAAGATATGGCAAAACAAAAGAAACGCAAAGAACAACAAGAACAAAGGCTGCACGGACTGCAAAGGGTGGCTCAAAGCTATGGTGCTATTCCTATTCCTCGAAGAACACGAGCCGGGTTGCCAGCAACGACAGTGAAAGGCGGCACATCCTTCACCAAGGGTTAGTTTCCTGACTTGCAAAACAAGAAATGGCGGTCTTGCGAACAAACCTTTGTAACAATAGATCCAGCTCCGACGGTGCTTCCCTTCCCAATGGTTCGGCCGGGTAGAATAATGGCGCCACCGCCAATCCAGCAATCTTGCTCGATGGTGATTCCACGTCCAAACTGAGGCCCCTGGCCACCTAGACGTTTCTTAGGATCAATGGGCAGCGAAGCGGTAAATATGCTGACGTTGGGCCCAATAACACAATTGTCTCCTATCTTGACTTCGCAGACATCGTTGATAGTACAGTTCCTACCAATCACCACGTGGTGCCCAATCGAGATGTTGTAGCCATAGTCGCAGGTGAATGGCGTCTCAACGGCGACATGTCGACCAACACGGCCCACATTTGTGACCGGAGATGCCTCCGTGGGAGACACACGCACGGGATCTCGGGGTTGCAGAATTTCTAAAAAGAGGCGCGCTCGTTCATCGGGCGATACACCATTTGTCGGTGGTGTAGTCAGGTTGTTAAACCGCCAGCATGCGGCTGCACAGCGTTCTCGTTCTAGGCACAACTCCTTGTCAAAGGGATAGTAGTGCCGTCCAGACAGCATTTCTTCCTTCTGAGTTCTCCGCTGTGGATATTGTGTGTGAGACAAAGCCAGCTGCGCAGCAACCTGAGCATTTGATGACGAAGACTGTGGATGTGGTGTTGGGCTACTGGTGCGGGCTGGATGTAGGATGTTGATTTGCGGTAGGTGATTACCTGGGTGCGGCGTCTCCGGCTCATTGCCTCGGTTGAGGTCATGTAGAGGTGGTACTCTTTGGTAATCTTTGGGCATCCTTTCTCCAAATGGGGGAGGTTGCGTATTGGCGCTAACCGGTGTAGGGAAAACATTTGCAGGAGTATACGGAATTGCGGATAATTTATTGTCTGGACTCAAGGCAGACGCGCTTGTCATTGTTGATATTGTTGATGCTGTTGGCCGGTCATCATCCGTGGCCAGAGGCCGGCCTTGTCCAGGGGTGTCTAGGCGAAGGATCTGGCCACGATAACTGGGTAGTGATTCGCGTTTGCCGGGCTGCGGCCCATACGTACCATGCTGCGGCATGCCGTACGCTCCAGGAGGAACATAAGACGGGTCTTTCGACTCGAGAGGCACAGCAGGTGTTTTGGCATCTTGTTTTGGCCATCCGGCTCCCCGCTGTGGCGGGTATCCCGCGCAAAGAAATCCCCCCCGGATGCAATTGCTGCCTGGGTTTCCTTGTTAGTTCTCCGGTGGCCCGAAACGTTGGTAGAAGGGGGGGGAACAGAGGGAAAAGGGGCGTTGGTCATCAGGATATGGCCCTTACATTCAGGCTTTTGCTCATCGCACTTCTTCTTTCTTTTGCGGCATGTCAGACAACCCGTCTTGGTTCGATTGCTAAAGTTTCTCTTGCGCTTTTTTGGGTCATGTTGAATAATGGAATCTGATCTGTGCTCAGTGCCGTACGGGCTTCCATACGTGCCGCCGGGCCGGTCTTCAGCATCGGGGCTGGTGTTGCCATAGTCACTGTGATCCACCTGACTTGTGGCTCTCCGGAGAGCATCGCCAATTTGTTCCTCAGTCTGTCCCCGTGGTGACGTTGCCGAATTTTGTTGTGAATCATATCCATTTCTCTCTTCTCGTGACGGTTCTTGGCTTTTCCATGCGGTATCCTTCTCTCTTTGATCGTCGCTATAGTGCCTGCTCTCTCGCTGAGGCGTACCGTACGCCTCCCGAGACTCATTGTTAGATGCACTGGGTGTTTCTTCTGGAGTACGCTCCTGAGCTCTGCTGTCGCGTCTTAGCTCAGCAGAACCCGACCGCTTGCGTTTGTGTGGGCCCTCGCCTTCCGGATACTTTATTGTCGGAAGGGGTTGACGATCCGTGGTATGTCCCTTCCAGGTGTCATTGCGACTGGGATGGGTTTCTGGTGACTTGTGTCGATAATTTTTGCCTGGCGCCGGAAGTCGTTCGTCTGAGGAGAATGCCCTTTCTGAGCTGTCGGCGGGTGGTTCATTTGCCTTGGGTGAGCCTCCGTTCAAGGCTGTGAAGGTGGACATGGCAGTTGCAGCTAAATTCCGAGATGGCGAGCCGAAATCGAGATGTTGCAGTACAAAACTGGACGGGCAAATTCTCTCAACAGACGGCAGGCAGTAGACCTGGAATCCTTGCAAGTCCCGAGTGTCTTGATGCCAATTCAGTATTAACGAAGGCGCGGGCTTGCAATCCGCATAGCTTTTCGGGGTCCAGCCCACGATTTGGTCGACACTTGAACAAGGTCGGCTTTGCGCTTATAACTCTATGGTGGACCGCCCTGTTGCGCCCCGAACACCAAATTACAAACACGGCGGCCTTGTCGCAACTTGGCAGCTTTCCCCATAGACGCCCAATAAGAAAGCTGATGGACGGTGCACCAGGAAAGAACAGCTTGGGAGTAAGTGTCACAGTTGGCGTGATTGCATTGCTCGAGCCAGAGGAGGAGGGCTGGCAGCACTGGTTGTCAGGTCCCCGCCGCCAAGGTGGTGAGGGAGCTTTGGTCGGGGGGAGGCAATCTGCACGACGAGGGACAAGAGACGAGGCGCGAGGCGGGCAGTGTAAAAGCAGCTTGTCAGCCTTTGCGTGGTTGATTCGAGAGGAGACGTCAGGTTCGCAAGCTCGTAGGAAAGCGCAATGGCTAGGGCGAAGGGGACAACGGAGGAGGAAAGAGAGCAAGCAAGAGACGGGCGTGCGGTGTCGCTGCAGGCAGCCAAGGGATGGAGAGGTGAGGAGGTGTAAGGTCGAGAGGTTGAAGACGGGGCCCTTTGATAAGGACGAAGACGAAGAAAGATGGATGAAGGATGGGGTCAACGGTGCAAAGGTGGTAGCTAAGGTCTAGAAGTCCCAAGGTGCAAATCCCAAGGTCGGTTCGGTCTGGCTGTCGGATTTGAGGAAAGTGCCGCTCACACGCAGCTTCCTCGAGGACCCCGGCAACATTCGAAGGCCTGTGTGCGCTTGGAGCACTT